AAGAAATATTAAATATATGATAATAAAGAATTTAAAATTAGTAAAATATTAAGTTATTCAAAGCTAAAGTAAGAAAAGAAAGAAAACTAATAATAATTAATTAGAAAATTATTAATTTAATAAAAATATAAATTAGATATAATATACATAACTAAATTAATAAAAGAATAAGGCTAAATATGAGTAATAATATAAATTAAAAATAAAATTGATTATAAATAAGATTAATTAATATAAATTATTTATTTATCTAATTTAGTAGTAATCAGTAATTACTGTACCATGAGTTATGGCTATACTATATACTGCACCATATTTATTGCACTACATGAATATGTAATTGATTACAATATGAAGAATATATTTTTATATATATAATATTAGTTTCTATAAATAAAATAAAAGAATTAATTATATTATTAGAAGATAATTTTTCTTTAATTAATAAATTAAGAATATTAGTAAGAAAAATATATAATTTATTATTAAAAACTTTTTATATTTAAAAGTTAATATTAAAAATTTCTTTATATTATAATCTATTAAGAAAATTATAAGTTCAAAAGAAGTTAGTATATTGAATTTTATTTTATAATATCATATTGAAAGTAACAAAATTAGTTATAATATAATAAATTATTATATTAAATTTCTGATTAAAATAATTTTTTACTTTATTTATTTATTATTAAATATCAAAAATAAAAAATCTTTCAATAAAGATTTTTCATATTTTAATAATTTTTCTAATTACTTTTGAAATTAATATTTACTTTTCAAATTCATGATATAATTTTTTATATTAATAATTAATCTCAATTTAGTAATCAAATATTTAATAGCTAAAAAGCAAGTTAAATTTCTGATATATATTTTTTATAATATATTTTATATATTAAATTAATAGTAATAGTAATTTTAAATAACTTTTCTTAACTTAAAGTATTATCTTGATCATTTTAAACTAGAATCTTTATAACTTGATTACATCTATTAAGCTATTTATATAGATTATAAAATATAATATTTTTTATAAAAAACTAAGAATTATCATGAATTAATGATTCTATATTCTTGTATAATAATATTCATTCTGAAATAAAAATTAAAAATAAGCAAAAATTAAAAATTATAATTAAAATATATATAAATTTTAAATTCAAAAATTAATAATAGATATTAAAATATTAAATTAATATTTATATTAATATAAAAAAATATATATTTAGTATTATACTAACTTATCTTTATTATTTTAATAACTAAATTAATTTATTTTTAATAAACAAAAAATCTTGAATTCTACTATTCAATAAGTATTTCATTATACTTAATTTTTTTATTATATAAATCTTAAATTTTAGTTAATTATTATAGACTCTTTATAATTTACTTTTTAACTTCTCTATCTTATTTTCTTAATTATCTATATATTACTATATTTACTTAATTCAACCATTAAGTTTTATTATTAATTCTGATTTTTACTAATTTTCTAGTTGAACTGAATTTATAAATTATTTAATCCTATCAAAATTAATTATTAAATTAGTGATATTAATACTTAAATTACTTTTATTAATATTAGAATAAGATAATTAGTTTTCTTAAGTGAAATTTATAAGATACTCATAAAACTAATTATTAATAACTATTTAATTATAATATATTGAATAAATTAAGTAAGAGTCAAGACTTAGATTAATAAGATTGAAAAAGTATTTATAAAAAAGTCTAATTCTCTTAGCTACTAATTAGTTATTTATATTTTATTATTTTTTTTATTACAAGAACTTAATCTAACTACAATATATATATTAATCAAGTTTATGAATATATATTTATAATCTTTTACTTTTTTTTATAATTAAATACTAAAAAAATTATAGTTTTAATTAATAAAAATATCTTTCTTACTTAATAATATATAAAGAAATTCTTAATTTAAGCTCTTATTTACTTTTTTTAAAATAGCTTATTAGAAGAAATTAAATATAATTTATATATAAATATAAAAATAAATTTATATTTTTTATTAAATAATAATAATTAAATTAAAATTTATAAACTTATTAATTAATAATATATTTGATATAATTAAAATATATAAAATTTATTTAATAAGAATTAAATTAAATAATATAAATAATTTTTTTATAAAAATAATCTTAATATTAATACTAATAATATATAATATAAATAGTTAATTTAATAATTAAATTTAATAATGATTATTATATAATATATATATATAAAATTATTAAAAAAAAGTTATTAAATTAAATTTTTAAGTCTCAATTATATATTATTTTTATATTAGTTATTTTATTTTTATTATAATTTCTTTTTAAAATAATAAAATTTATATAATTATAAAATATTTAAAATAATATAAAGTTTTTTAATTATAATATAATTCATTATATTAACTTTTTTTATATAAAAAATACTAAAAATTTATTAAATCTAAATATTAATATTATAAATATTCTTGTAAAAAATATAAAAATTATAAAGAATATATTTGAAAAATATATCTTAATTAGAAATTTTAGAATATTATTTATAATAATAAATATTATTAATATTAAAAGATAAATATTTTAAAAAAATTAAAATATTAATATTAATAATAATATAATAAAAAATTTCTTGAATCAGATATTAATTCATCAGAAATTAAAAAAATATATTTATATTATTAATCTTATATTAAAAATATTAATTATATAAAAATTATTATTTGCATTTTTAAATAATAGAAATATATATAAAAATATAAATATCAACATATTATTCTTATTAATAAAATTTTTAAAATTAGTAAATATAAGCTTCTCTTATTTATTATTATAATAATTAATGAAAATAGAAATATAAAATAAATATAAATAATTATTTAAATATAATTATTAAAATTAAAATATATTTTATTATAAAATTTTTTATATAATAAAAGATTAATTATATTTATATATTCTTTAAATTTATATTTTTTACTAATTATTATATTAAATAATTATTAAATTAAAAAAGAAAATAAAAAATAAATATAAAAAAAATTAAAAAAAAAAGATAATTTTAATAAAAAATAGTAAAGAAAATAATTTGTAAAATTATCAATTATATATAATTTATAAAATTAATATAATTATAAAATTAAATATAATCAGACTGCTTTATAATTATTATACTTGAAAAAATAAAATTAAATAACTAAAGAAAGATATAATTATAAAGAGATTTTTTTTAATTATAATTGATTAATAACTGAAAAATTCAAAAAAGATAATTATAAAAAAAGATGATTATAAAGAAATATGATTATAGAAAGATTTAATTATATTATAAAAATTAATATTATATTACATTAAAAAAATTATATATATTAATAATTATATTTATTATTATATATTTATTAATAAAATTTTTTATAAAAATATTAGTAATATTTTAAAAAAATTTAATTAAGTTTGAGCTTGAATTTAATTAAACTTAAACTTATATTTTGAATTTAATATTAAAGTTAAATTCAAATTTAAATTAGAAAAAATTTAAAAAATTATAAATTTAAATTTAAACTAAACTTGAACTTGAAATTTTATATCTGATTTAAATTTTATTTATAAGTATAATAATAAAAAAGCTTTTATAATTTTACTTATAAATATAAAATAAATTTGCTATTCAAAATTTTAATTTCAATTAAAAAAATTAAAATATTTTTATTTAAATAATTATAATTTATTATAATATAATATATTTGATAAATAGTAATATTTTATTATATATCAAAATTATCTTAGTGAAATTTATAATTTATTTACAATTTTACTTATAATTATTTTATATAAAAAATTAAAGTTATTGTTAAAAATCTAAACTATTTAAATAACAATTATTTATTTTAAATATCAAATATTTCAACAGATATTATATATGAAATTGTATTCCAGAATTTAAACTATAGCTTATTTTTGATAACTAGTTGCAGCTTAATCAATTTAAGACTTTTTCAAATGATTATTATATTTAAGTTACTATAATATTTGTAAATAATGAATAATTTTGTGTAAATTAAATAATTAATGATTTATGAAATTATACTTATCCAATTCTCATTCAGGTTTTCAAGTATTCAATAAAAAAAAATTGTTGATTTTAATTAAAGATTTCAGAATTTATTATATTATCATTCTAAGACATATATTTATAAAGTGTACTGAAAGAATGACATAAATTATTCTAAAAAGATCTATAAATTATTTGAGCAAAAGTCTGAAGTGATAAAAAAACCTGTAGTAACAATTCGTCGATATATATTGTATATCGATATAGAAGTATTAATCTCCAATTACACCGCGAAGCTCGATAAGCCGGGATCTGGATAAACCGGCGACTAATAAAACCGGATTGAGGTGTAAAAGCGGTCTAAATAAAATTCCACTCGATAACCTGATTTAGGAATTTAGCTCTGACCGCAATAATTAAGGATCGACTACCCATAACTAAAGATTCAAAATAGATATAAATAAAATGTAATTGTTTCCAAAGAGTTAAAACTTCGAAAAATAACTCACCTCCATTCTACCAATTTTATCACTGGTTGTACTAGAAATCAGTTCAATAACCATTTCTAAATCTTCTTGATCAGTCAACATAACCATTTCACCCTCCTCATCCTTATATTTAAAGAGGAGCGGTGTAGAGGAAGAAAATTTTTCTTGAATTCTTTGTGTGAGCTCATTGAACTTTATTGACGCCGGAACAAGAATAACTCGTGTGTCCTTATAATAACATTTTACTTTCAACTAATTCCCAAGAAAACAATTTTAGAAATTTTTATGTAAAGTAAAATAGTGATGAGATCAATAAAAATCCTAACCTTTTCAATAGGTACGGGTGATTCTTGTGATTGCGATTGCACAGAATTTGAACTAGATGAATTGGACGATGTCGATGGAGATTTTTGTTGCTGTGATGGAGGTGCAAGTATTTCGAATTGTGTCTCATCCTCATTATATAAAAATTTATCTCCATCTTTGTTAAATATTAGACTGGCATAAGAAATAGGTTCAGGACTCGCCGAAAGCATACCACGATCGTTTTGCAATGTAGAAGGTTTATAAGCAACTCCTCGTTCTTGCGGGGCATTATTGGCCGTGGGAAGAGGGGATGCACGTCCGCGAAAACTTGGAGTCCGTGATGATGAGTCGCCGCCGTTTGTACCTCGAAGATTGCTACTATTACCATTTAAAATTGGAGAGTTATAATTTACTCCAACATCTAAATCATAATCATCATTGTTTAACATGAAATCATACAATTGATTAAAACTTTCAATTCTAAGATCTTCATTACTGAATAAAGAATCTATAGGAGGTATTGTTGGTGACTGTAAATGTTGTGTTGGTGGTGGTGGCAATTGTTGTTGTGGAGGAGCACCATAATTGGATATGTTTGCTTTGAGCTGTCTCTGTAGAAATTGTGTACGCATTTGAGTATTCGCTCGTTGTGGGAAAACCTGAGGTCTATCACGCGAGTCTGACCGATCATTAAGAGCATTTGTTCGTAAGGAATTCTCTCGTCTTAATGGCCGTGAATTCTCTTGATTAGTTGTGTCTATATTCCTTAGCGAATTCTGACGTTGTAGCATAGAAGTAAATTTTGGTGATGGCCGTCCATTGTCATATGTATTTGAACGTGATGGCCGTCCATTGTCAAACGAATTTGAACGTATTAAAAGATCATCAGGTTTTTTTGATCGAGATGATGTAGCATAATAGGAATTTGCATCTGGCGAAGGATCTGCTGGATTTCTTTCCCTTAGAGTTCGAGTGGAATTCGTTCTCTCTGGAAAATTGTGAAGGTTTTATTGTGAAGATTAAGATGAAAAATTAGATTAATATTCTAATATTTTATAGTTGTTAGCCGTGTTCAATTCTATTCTGGTCTGTTCTGTTCAAAAATTTTGATGATTCTGAACATATAATTTGATCCAACTATACTCAAAGGTGTTAGCATAATTTTTTTAATTTATCTTTGGTGCGAATTTGATTTTTCGATCAAACTTTGTAAATCCTCAGAACGGAACAGAATTGAACAAGATTAATTGCAATGAAAGTGTTTGTGTTAACGTTATTGTTATCACAATCATTACCAAGAATTGACGGTATCGTAGGAGAATTTAGTTGATCTCTTTGAAAACTGGGATCTCTGCCAAGATTCCCGACAACCGGAAACGGCGCTTTTCTCGGATCGCTCGATAAAGATCCAGGCCGAAGAAAAGCATTTCCACCAATATTATCTACTTTTCCGTCAGTTTTATTCTGTTTTATTGGCGTGGTGGTATTGGATTGGGCAGTTTGCTTCTTTTGTGCACCCGTGAATCCAGTAAACGCGTCCTCTGGGTCAACGGCGGCGACTAATTTCGCCTTTCCGAGATAATCTTTTACTTTGACATTTTTTAGTTTAACCTCTGATGGACGGTATATTATCCCGACGGGAATAGAAAAGACCGCGAATCCCTGTGATTTTTTGGTTAAATTATTATGCTTAACAAGCTATAATATTTTTCGAAGAGAATTAATTACCTGGCCTTGAGTTTGAATAGCCTCATCGATAACCTGGTGATCTTCCGTTTCTTTTTCCTTTGAAGCGGCATAGAGATCTCTCATCCCGTTGTCCAATTCTCCGAAATACAAATAACATAGACCTCGATTGAATAACACTTCACATGAGTACAATCGGAATTTTAGCCCGAGTTGTTCATAGTCGATCAAGATGTTACCGCGGAGATACTTTTATGAAGATGCATTATAATGTTAATCATGATTATATATGTGCATGAATATATGCGTATGAATATATTTCAGAGACTTACTCGTAATGCATCATCGAAACATCGAAGTGCCATTTCAAATTGTTGTAATAAAAAATGTGAAACACCTTTTTGGAAATATGCGACAGCAAAGTATTGATCACATTCGATGGCCTGCTTAAATGATAAACACTAAAAAAAAAGTAAGGTTTAGTTTGAAGTTTAACATCGCCAACGTTAAAAATCCAAAGTTACTGAATGATTACCGCTGCCTCGTGTTCTCCTAGAGTCGCGTAAATTAATCCCATGTTAAAATGAAATTTGGCCGATTCTGCAATAGTCTGGATGATAACAATAAAAATGACAACCATGGTAAACATCATGAATGATAATATCAATTCGTATTTATAGAAACCATTACCTCAAATAGCCTCAACGCGTTTTCATAGTTTTGCGCGTCGTAGGCTTCTACGGCTGCGCCCCACTGTTCAAGTTCGTACTATTTTATAGATATATGTAATAAAATTATTAGGATGCTCGTTATATTTGTAAAAATGATACGTGGATTTTTTACTGACTTTTAATGCCATGGTTCTTTTAGATTAACGAATTATTATTTAACTTTTTATTTACAATGATTTAAATAGAAAAAAAAATCGGGAGCGATTTTCTATGTAGATTTTATAGATTTTGATCGAACCAGCAATCAAAGTGAAAAGGGGTGAAGTATGAATAAATGAAAAGAAAATTATTAATTTACAAAGGTAAATTTACAAAGAGGCGAAAAGGTGGTGGTTTCTTAATAAAAAAAATGGACAGAAAGAGAACCACAAAAAAAAATTAATTTTTTTCTTTAATTAACAATTTAAATCGACGGACATAAATAATAAAGCATTCGGCGTAATTCAGATACAGTTTCGTGTTAGGTTTCGTATTTTACCTTTTTTGGTAAAATAGGGAATTATGCATATGAATCAACATCATTGTATTATATTATGATTGTCAATGGTTTCAAGTCGAATTTCTATCACACCATTTAACTAATTAATCAATGATTGGTTGAAAGAAGACCGTTCGTTCTGAAAACTCGATTCATTTCATTTAAGGCCATGAAGAATCGCGATAAAATTTGACCACGCGATGATGTGTAAAATTGTACATACATATAACCCAAAGTATCCAAATTTTTTCTTTTGGTCCATTTATGTGTGTAAATAGTTCAACATTGTTTCTTTAATAAGTTTATGTAAATACATATACATATGTACGTTCGTTACGCTAATATTTCATTTGGTCAATATGAATTAATCTTAATTAAGCATAAATGGGGACAAAAGAATAACGCACTGACTATCTAATTATTTAAATTAAAAAATTAATTAGTTTAATTAATTGTTATCTTACGTTCGCCGTCGACTTCTAGCTGATAATTAATCGAAAGACTACTTCGATAGCTTGTGAGGGAATGAATTTTCGATGTGTCGGTACACGTGCTAATGAGACGCGTGGAAGATTTCTCAATGATCGGTTCGGTCCGAATATACTTAGGGACGTCCGATCTATGGTAGAAACCTAGCCATTTTTAGATTCTTTTTCATACACTGTGTAACTTTATTTACAATTTTCATAATTTTCATTGTTCATTGAATGAAAATAGATCACTTTTTATATGGCACTTGATGTCAGAGGTAAGGATGAAAAATTTATTGACGTAATGTAACTCAAAGGGATAAGTTTTAAAAACGTAACCATAAAGTTATACAAAAGTTAGTCTAGGGTGACCCCTCCCCTGTAGTCAAGAGATGATCTGTGAAAAAATATCTCTGTGCGACATACACAAAAGTTAAAATTTTCAGATCGACAATGAAGATCCTACTAAGTAATCACCAACAGCAGCATTATCAACAAAAATGCATAAACAAGAAACTTGTCGACACTCTTCTCTGTTGCATTCAAAGAATCTCCAACAGATACAACCAGAGGCAATATCAAATGGGCAATTATCATCTTTCGAAAAATCACAAAGTGGGAAACCTCGTTGTCGAGAGTCTCGTTCTCCAGTTGTGCAAGAGGAACCAGAAATTTCGCTTGATGATATAAAAATGTTGATCAATGCTCAGCATCAGATACATAAAGTTCGACTCTCCCAAAGGATCAGACAGAATTACGATGTTATTAATAAAAACTCTGCAACCGAGGAAGCTCAAGATCAAAAGAATGTATATAGTTATAATGAAGATAAAGAAAAAGATGATAATCTTAACAATAAAACATTTTATCAAAGAAAAGATGTCAAAAATTACCGAGACTTGAGCACCCATGAACTAGTGATGAGAAATCGATTATTGCATGAGAAAGTACAACGACGTATTAAATTGCTTAAAAGAATATATGAATTGAGAAAAAGAGGAGGGGCAACGACTAATAATGTTGCTATGACTAATAATTCGAATATCAACGGTGTTGATTCGTTTGATAATGATGATGATAATGATTATGATTATGATGATTATGATTATTATATTAAAGCTTGGGAACGGATGTCGCCTGATAAAGTTAGCTGGAACGCATTTCTTGAAATGACGAAAAAAGTAGATAAAAATTGATTCAAGATAAAACTTCAATTAAATCAACTCTCAATCTATAATGTAATGTAATGATATTATTTTTTGTAATCAATGATAACTTTAAATTAATATTTCTTTTATAAAAAATTCATTAACGCGAACGATGGTAGTTATCCCTATTCTATCCATCCTCAATTTACATTTTCGATAATATTTATCGGAGGAACTAGAAATACGGCCTCGTAACTTCTGCCAGGAAACAAAATGTTTCTCGTATGCCTCTTCTATGATTGCATTGACGACTTTGATACAATTATGCTGCTGAGACTGCGAATATCATTGTTAATTAGAAGGGCGGGTGATTTTTGATTTCTAAATTTTGCTTATTAATTTTTTATTTGAAAGCATTTATTTACAATTACATAAATGAATGTAAAGAAATTATAATTTTTGACGATTTCCAGTATTATATTCGCAACAGCATATACATGTTACAGCACAGTCATCTATTCCACCTTTTTAAACTACATCGATATAATTATAATTAATTAATATGCCATACTATCAGGATCATGTTTATCAGTCAACTTTTCTAACAATAATAGACTTAACAGAGAGCCGCTAACGAGATCTTCAACCATCACCACAAGATCCGGCGATGCTCCACGGAGAATCCAAAATTATTTCATCGAAAATTACTAGACGTTATTTTCCGAGTAAATTTCACCACGAAAATTTGATGAGGGAGTTAAATAACCCTCCTCGCCAAAGCGATTGCATCTAGTGGTATTTATGGAGAGCAGTTGATTAGAGAGTAGAGACACCCGATACAGTGTAGAAATGGTATATAGGTAGAAGTCGAATCGGATTATTGTCAATAACAAGTACACTTTATAGTGTATCAAAAAAATCTATTAGTAAAAATATTAATAAATTTACTTTATCAGTGGATTTTATTATAACATTAAAAATCCGCAAACTCGTGTTTTCTATTAATTTAATAATTTAACAAACACGAAAAATTGATACGCATGTTTCTTCAATAAAATAATTCATATTCTGGCATTTTATAACTGTTACCCTCTAATTCCACCAGAATTGTGTAAGAAGATGCGATAAGAACACTTTTTTATTAAAACATAACAAATATCGTTCATTACACTAACTCGAACCCCATCACTGTAACTTTCCTTCCGATCGCCATTTTTCAACCACCGATTTCACAGTTTTATTAAATCTCTGCATACCATCTTCAACCTCTTCCTTAGTGACATTCAGTGGTGGAATTAAACGCAGTATTTCAGAGATGCCGGCAGTTAACAAGATTAAATTATGTTCCTCTAGAGCTTCTTTTGTGATAGCAGCGGCGAATCCTGGTGGCGCATTTTGAAATTCGATTCCGATCATTAGACCAAGACCACGAATGTCGACAGAGATTTTGGTTGACTGGAAAAGTGGGGGAATTGTTGATTTTAAACTGTCGAAAATTTGTGCTGATCTAATTTGAATATTTATTTATTAAGATACTATTAGCATATAATCATAAATAAAGAAATATAATTTAATATAAATATAAAAATGATAGTTGCCTTGAATTTACATTTTCAAATAGTTGCTCTTCTTTGATAACGTCTAATGTTGCACTAGCTGCAGCACATGCTACAGGATTACCGACATAAGTTCCGCCCTTTGATTTAATAAGAGGATCAAAAAGAATATAATTACCAAAAGCCTAATATATAATTAATAACCACATACCATACTCCCAGGAGCCTGTGTATCGGTTAACTCTTTCCTCGCAGCAATAGCACTCAACGGAAACCCACTAGCAATACCTTTAGCCATCACCATAATATCCGGCACTACGTTATAATGTTCTACAGCAAACATTTTCCCGGTACGACCAAATCCGCTTTGCACTTCATCAGCAATCAATAAGATATTATTTTCCGTGCAAATTTTGCGTACTTCACCGAGAAAATTTGCGGGTGGAGCTACGTATCCGCCCTCGCCTAGTATTGGTTCTATTAATACAGCAGCTGTATCTTGTGGTGCTGTTTGTTGCTTTAGAAGTAGTTGTAGTTGCGTAATTGGATAAGAGCAGCAGTTAGTTGTGTTGTAGGTTTTTGGTGATGCTTGATGAGCTGGGCATTGTATACAGTATGGATATGGTGCAACGTGTACTCCTGGCTGAACATTAAAATTTATAAGTAAATTGACTATATTTTAATCTTGGCAAAACTAATTGCTTACCATTGATGAACCATAACCTGCTTTATAAATCGTATTCGAATTAGTAAGTGCCAAAGTACCAATAGTTCTGCCATGAAATGATCCTATATGATTTAAACAGTCCGAATAGTTAATTCACATAAATCATCGAAACAATCAAATAATCTTAGTATACCTTGAAACACAATAATATTCTGTTTTTTCGTCGCGGCTCTTGCCAGTTTGATCGAATTTTCGACAGCTTCGGCTCCAGAATTCGCGAAAAAGAACGAATCAAGCTCTCGTGAGGGCATCATGGGAATCAATCTTGTGATGAGATCAAGCATCGGTTTGTGGAGAACGATGTTGACCTGTGAGATTAAAAACAAATTTAGATCGATTTTAAGTTTCAAATCAGAAAATTGTCAATATTGTAAATAATATAACTTGTCCATGAATCAAATTTGCCACTTGATCTTGCACAGCTTTAACAACTTTTGGATGATTATGACCTGATTAATATTTTGCCAAATATTCGTTATCTTATTTGATCATGACGGTAATTTACATTACGTGTATTAAATGATAAACCTGTCGAGGTAACACCAATTCCCGTAGTAAAATCCAGATATTTTTTTCCATCAACTGTCCATATCCACACCCCACGTGCTCTATCCACCACCAATTCGGATTTACGTAAAATCCCACGCGCGAGATGACGTGTACTGATTTCTAAGAGATTTTTGATATTGGACATTTTTTCATGATATTTTTTCCCTAAAAAGATGGCACTTTATATCTCTTATCGTAGGAACGTGTTTGAGCGTATCGTGGGAACTGTTTTATTTGTGTGTGAACTGATTTTCTTTTGTTTCACCATGATATCGAATAATAGTATAAGTGACAAATAAAACAAATCAATTAACAGATAAAAATATTATGATTATGTATGAAATAATCCCTAGCCACGGCAAAAAATAGTGTCGGATCATGTGATTTTTAAAGGGTAAACCAATCAAATCGTGTAACGGAAAAAATTCAATGTTCCTTGCTTTATAATGTTATACTGTTATAATGTCACGTGGAATATAATCCTAACTATAGTGCATGACACTTAAAGATGCCAATAAAACTAACCATCTTTAAATAGTAAAGGATAATCATACAAAGGTGGTACAAAAAAAGAAGGCCGTTATTTTGTCTAGCTACAAAATAGCGGTTTCTTTTTCATGGTCAGTGAGACATATTCAAAGTAATAACGTGATTAGTGATCGTCCAATAAAATTGAATTTTAATTTTGATTGGTCGATCCCAGGTCACGTTTTTATTTTTTATTGGATCATGTCACATTTTCAAAATCCGAATATTCAGAAAGAGAGGATTCTTAAAGCAAGGTAAGCCGGCTAGAAATCGGATTGTGACTAGTTGCAGACATTTTTCACGTGAGTGTGTAATCGATCAATTTGATAAATAATTAGTGATACAAGTCGATATCCAAGAATCAACTTTGGTTGATTGATAATTTTAGTTAACTAGTCGATTCTTGATGCAGTTTATTAACACGTGACCTATAACCAATAGAATATGCCATATCAAGTGACTTGATATGGCTTGTACATTTTCACATGATCAAAGTTTTATTTCTAATAAATGCAATAATCACTGAATATTAGATTGATATTATAAAGTAATTGAGATAAATTTAGAAAAAGTAGATCATGTACAGTAGTCAGATAAAGATGATTTTTTTTGTTTGTAACTACATTGCCTGCATTTAAAAATAATCTTTTCGAAGGAATTGAGGTACTAGAAATCACAAGATACTTTCTGGCTTGTATTACCATTAAGGATAAAGTGGATTTGTTGGCTTTTCAAAAGGCAAGAGAATTATGTTCTTGGTATCAGAAGTCTTTAAGATCATATATGCATATTTTTGGAAGTTCAAAATAAATTTTGAATTCAATATCAATAGGAAAAAGTTGGAAGGATGATGTTTCATTAGCAAAAAAAGCTTCAAATAAAGATTGATCTTTATTAGAATTATTAATCATATTTGGATATATTTGATTAATATTAATTTTCATTAATATCTTTAAATTATTCTTGATTTATTGTAGCTTTTCTGGATCAAAACTCAAGTCTTTAAATCTTGAATTAAGTAATGCTGCCAAATAACCTACTGAATCAGAATTTTCCTAATGTTTATTAATAGATAATTCAATATTTGCCCAAATAGTTCGAATAATTTGATTAATTAAAATATTCTCTATTCAAAATAAATATTCTTGCAATATCCAAATAGTTGGAAGTATTATTGATAAGGTAGGATAATGATTATCTCCTATAAATATTATTACACGTGCAAATAGTCAAAATAAATTAACTAATTCTTTAATTCCTACCAAATTTTGTTTTGACAAAAATAATTTTTCTAATCTTTTTGCATTTTTTTGAACTTCTCTATCTTGATCTTTGATTATATCTTGTTATAGAATAATTATTGCAGGATAAAGTTGAACCAATCATTCTAAGAACAAGAAAGTTGAATTCTACCAAGTTGATATATCAGATTCAATTATGTCAAGTATTATTATATTTTTTTGTTAAATGGAAGAATTAACCACTTTTGCTTGTGATAGATAAAATTTTTCTTGATATTTGTCTCTTTCAGATAAAAAACTGTTTAAAGCTTTGGCATATCCAATTAAATTAACCACTTCTTTAGATTTCAAGCTATCAATAATTGAAAGTTGAATCGTATAAGCTGTGTATCAAATATGAGTAATGCCAAAATTATTTATTACTTTCATTATTGACGAAGTATTATCTGTAACTCTAGCAAAGCATCTATCTATTATTCCCCATTTAGAAAATTCATATCATAAATAATCTTTAATATGCTCAGTATTGTGTGGATATGGAAAACTCTCAATTATTAGTATTACTTTATACATAATAAAATCCTTAGCAAGTCAATACGTTATAATGCCAATGTATAATTTATAAGCCTCAGTCCATAAATCAGTAGTAAAACTAAAGGTATCCAGAGTTTTTTGAAGAAATGATGTTAATTTACTTTCAGAAAAATTTACTAATTGGTGCAATTTTTATTTGAAGACATCTTGATATGGAAACTTGTATCATGAATTAATTTCAACAAAGATTTCTTGAAAAGTATTACTTGCTAAAATATTGAATAATTGCATATCATCAATCAACTATGCAAGAATTCTTGAGATAATTTGATCTAATTTTTTTAATGATAAAGATGATCTTTTATCAACAAATTCTATAAGAGTAGGCTGATTCAGATTTTTTTGAGCAAGTTTTGTTGTTTTTAGTTGTACTACTCCTCTACTCAATGGTAATAATTCACCAGTCTCTGTTAATCAATAATCTTTTCTTAGATATGCTATCAAGCTAGAAGTGCTCATTCCAATTGCAAACTTTTTTTGACATTGCTTGATTTTATTATTGATATTAATGAAAACAAGACAACATATTTCTTTTAGAAACACATTTTTTTGTATATGATTCCATATCCAACTTTTGTCAGGTTTAGTTCTTTTTCATTTTTTTAAACTGTTAAATGATTTAACATCATTTTGATTAATAACAGGTTGAATAATTAAAGAAGAAAGGAAAGGTAAAGGTGAAGATAGAGATAAAGATGATATAGATAAAGGTGATGTAGAAAAAGATGAAGAAGGAAAAAAAAAGGAGAAAAAGAAAAAGAAGGAGAAGAAGGATGTAAATATGAAAAAGAAAAATACAAAGGAGAAGAATGTAAAGTTGATTGATTATTTATAGAATCTTTTTGAATTTCCTCAATAGAAACATTATTAAATATATCTTTTGAATTATCAGTTGGTCCTTGCCAATATATAAAGGTGTTAAAACTTTGTGATTCTATTTTTTTAGCTTGAACTGATAGAAATATGACATGTTATAATTTGATATATAAGCTATGTGATCAGTATATAGCATGATAGAATTTATTTACATGAAGCTTGCATAGTTTTTTAATGTTTCTGACCTAATAAAAATTTAGTTATAAAATTAACTTAATTGACTTTTAAAAAATTAACTAAATTAGTTGACTTGTGACTCAAGTCAATTTTTTGACTAAATAACTTAGAATACTATAAATAATGTATCATGTATTTCTAAATAATCTTATAATATATATATTTTACTATATTTTTTAATTTTTTTAAGAGACTTTGATTTTTTAAGAGACTTGAAAAATTTCATATATAAAAACTGTAAGTATGAGAATTTTGATGATTATGTTAATATGAAAAATTCTATGCATTCTTTTATAAATATTTTTTTTATGCATTTTTTCTTGTAAATATTTTTTACATATTTTCTTGCTTAATTATATTTCTTTTTTTGTTATTATATAATGATTTTCCATTTTATTATCCTAAAATCATATTTCTATCCTAATATTCTAGTATTTACTATTTAAAATTATTATATTAAATTTTTGTGAATGCTATTTTAATATATTTCAAATATTCAAACTTCTCATTAAAGAATTTCATAATAAATATTATATATTTGTAGACTTTTCAAATTTTAAAAATTAAGTAAATATTAAGAAAAAGTTTTTTTTAAAAATCTTCATGTAATTTTTAAGTAATCTGCTATTAACTGCAAGATTAAAATAAAAATTACTTGATTAGTTACTATAAATAAAGTTTAAATCAAAAGAATAGAGAATATCTCTGATTACAATTACTTAATTAATCTATATAATATATAAAAATATTTAAGATTTATTAAAATTATAATTATTAATGAAGTAATCAAGAATTATAATTTTCCAGTAATTATTAATATTATTCAAAAAGAAATTAAGTAATTATATAAAGATTTAGATATCAAGTATTTAAAAATTCAAGAGATTATTAATATTAAATTTAAACTCATTGATCTAATAAATACTCATCTTATTGATAAAGTTAACTTAAAACTGAATATTTAAACTATAAATAAATTTCTTGTTAAAAAAATTATTAATTTAAAAAGTTTATTGCTAAAAATCTCAAGATTTTTATTTTATAAATTCAAAATAATTAAAAAACTTAGTATATTATAAATAACTAATTCTAATTAATTTAATTTATAATAATTAATCTTATATATTTATAATAATTATAATTATTAGAATATTAATGAATATTTTTTATTAGCAAAAAGAATAATAAAATAATTATAATAATATTAAAAACTATTTGAATATTTACTTTTTATTAGTATTTATAATATATATTTCTTGATTAAAATAGTATAAAAGCAAATAATATTGTAATTACTTTTTCTGTTTTTATGCAGAAAAATAAAAGTGTAATATAATATTTTATATAATATATATTATATAAATATGAATAAAAAATATTTATCATGATCTAACACTTAAAAAAAATAATCTATATAATATATAAACTAACTTAAATTAATTATAAGAAACTTGTCAAGAACATGATAATTAATTATTTTATTTAAGTAAATACCAAGTATATTACTTAAAATTATTTTGAAAACTTAAAAAAATAGATATTTTGAACTTAATAATATTTATTTTTTCTTTTTTAACAAATTCTTTTAAGTTTTATTATAGTAAACTTAAAATGAAAACTTCTTATTCATATGATTTTATTAATAAAGAATTTATTATTAATATTAATATTTTATTATTCAGTTATCATTTCTTACTTTTATATTATCTTTTATTTATTATATTATTAAATATATATTATATAATTTTAGAAGTTAATAATAAGAAGAAAATAATTATAAAGAAAGTTATTATTAACTTTCATATTAAAATAATCTTTATTACTAATATAAAATTCAAAATTCTTATTAAGATTCATAAATTTTTTTTTATTCAAAAACTTATTATAAAAAAAGTATATATTATTTTGAAAAGATTATAAGAGAAAAAAAAGTACTAGATCTTATTATTACAAAGTGTAATTATAAATTTTTTAATTAATATATACTATCTTATCATTATATTTTATATAAATAACTTTATAATAATATTAATATATTAATATTAGAAATATAAAGAGATTTTTAAAAAATTTTTGAGAAAAATAATTTAGAAATGTATTAGTCTTGTAAATTAATAAATATTACTTAATATTAAGTTAAAGTTAAGAAAATTACAGAAAAAAATTAATTATTAATAAATAAATTATTTGAAAAAGTAAGAAATTAATATTATAGATTAATAAATAAAGAAAATATAAAGAAAATAATAAAGTTTATTAGATATCTAAAAAAGTATTTTAAAATCTATTCTTAAGTAGAGTTTGATAAGATTTGAGATTTGATTTTTTTAAAAAGAAAAAAATAAAAATAATATAATAAAAATATTATAGAATAATAAAGTAATAAATAATAATAATATAAGATAAGTAAATAATAAAATAACTTTAAATATTAATTATATAAATTAATTTAATACTTATATTTTAATAATTTTAATTAGATTTATTAAATATTATAATATTAATTATAATTTTTATCATGTGTTATTAATTAAAAATAGCTAATTATATGATTAGCTTATTTTGCTTTAAGAATTTTTCAGAAAGAAAAAAATATTTAACTTCTTTATAAGTATAATATTATTATTATTAAAGATAATATTATAATTAATTATAATTTAATTATAATTCTCTAATTAGCTATTATAATTAATTATAATTAAATTATAATTTTCTAATTAGTTATTGCAAATTATAATTAATTAAAATATCATCTTTAATTATTATATAGTAATTCTTTTATAATATAATAAAAAAATTTAATATTAAAAAGTTTTTAAAAATCTATTATATTAAGAGCTTATTAATAAATTTATTATATTAAATAAATTTTATTAAAGATAATTTTGAATATTATTTATTATATTACAAGTTTAATTAATCTTTACTAAAGATAATGTTATAACTTGATTATAATTTTCTGATTGGCTATCATAATTAATCATAATTCTTTAATTAACTATCACAAGTTATATTAATTAAAATGATATCTTTAGTCTTTATTATAAATAAGATATATAATAAAGTAAGCTACTATATATATATAATATGACTTTTTTGAATATATAATTTTTTAATAAGTATAATATATATAAATTAAAATTAATTAATAATATAATTTTATTTAATTTTTAAAAATTTTAAATAAAAATTTGAATTGATATAATAAATTAATTATAATATATTATATAATTAAATTAATATATTATTTATATAAAATAAAATTAATTAATTAAATTATTAATAAAATTAATTATAAAAAAGTTATAATATTTAAAATTTTTTTATATTTTTTATTATATATTTAATAGCTCTTTTTATTAAATACTTATAGTATATATTTATATAATAAAAAGCTTTTTTAATAAAATATTAGATAATTAATAATAATATTAAATCTAATTCTTTTAAAATAATCTTTTTTATATTTTTTATAATATCTCAAAAATTCTTTATATAATTAAGTTTATAATAAATTTTAAATAAAAAATAATTTATATTCTATTATAGTAATTATTTCTTTTAGTCAGAATTTTTATTTCATAAAGTTAAGCTTATTAGTTATAATTATAATTATATAATAATTTATAACTTTTAATTTATATTTATTTTTATATTTTAAATAAAGATTTACTTAATATAACTTATATTTAGATAATATAATATATAATTCTTTTAATTTTTTTTGAAGTAAAATATCTAAATAATCTAAAAAAAATTCTATTTTATAAAATTCTATTTTTAAAAGTTATAAATCTAAAAAAATAATATAATTAATATAAAATTAATAAATTATACTATTTATATAATTAATATATCTTAGTTTTAATTACTTTTCTTTTAGTTTTAAATTTATTTTTTATAAGAGTATTAGATATAAAAATTACATGATTAGTTATATTATTGAAAGTAAAAATTTTAATTATATCAGAAAATTATTTTTTAAAAATAAGAATTATTTATCTTATACTTATATTATAAACTTTAAATAAGTTTAAAAAGTTTATTTTATAATAAAAAATTATTATTATATTTATTAATATATTTTTAGTTTTAAATATTTATATATATTTATTAAAAATTCATAAATATATAATAATTATTTCTATTTTTTTTAATAGTTATTTATTTTTAGATATCTAATATATTAATATCCTATTATATAATAAAAATATATATTTATTTATAATAAGTATATATAATTTTTCTTCAAGAAGTAATTCTAATCATATTTCTATTTTTATATTCTTATTATAAATACTAATATTAATTTTTCTAATTTTAATATTTTATATAAAAATATTATTTAATATTTTTTATTTATAATTATTAATATATATTTTTTTATATAAGAAAATTTTATAATTAAATACTTTTAAATAATTATATATTATATTAATATAAATTTTTGAAAATAAATCAAATCTAAAATTTTTAAAGCATAATAAAATTAATATAAATATTATTTTTGTATTCTAAAAAATTTATATATAATATATTTATCAAAAAAAAATTTTTATTTATGTATTTTATTAATATTTTTAGAGATATTTCAAATTTATTAGATTAAATAAAAGATTTTATTTGACTAATAATATTCTTATTCCAAAGAAATATAATAATTTTAATATAAAGATTATTTTTTATTATCTAATAATAAATTTTAAATAATTATTTTATATTCAGAATAAGCAAATAAATTTTTAATATAATATATTTTAATTATTAAAAATATTTGAAATTTAATATAATTATTTATCTATATTTGATATTTTAAATATGATATAATTTTTAATTAAGAGTTTTATTAATTATTTTTATCATTTTTATTCTTAATTATTTTTTATCAAGAAGATTAAGATATTAGTATATAGATAATTTAAGAATAGAAGATTTTATTATTAAATATCTTTTTAAAAATCTCTTGTCATAATTTTTAGAATATTTTTTTTTCTTTTTCTTCTTTATTGTTATTTCTTTTTCTGTCATCATCTTCTTAATATTAATAAAAATTTCAATTTTTTTTCTTATTAGTATTTATAAAATATTTTCAGAGTTAGTATTTATATTACTACTTTTTTAAAGAAGATTTTTCATTATCATTTTGTTATTTTCAAGTTATCAATATATATTAAAGATCTTTGATTATTACTTATTAAAGTTTTATTTATCTTGATCATTATCTTTATTAATATTAAATCTGTAATCAAAGTTATCATTTTTGTTTATGATTTAACTATTATTTTTATTAATATTAAGTTTATAATTAAAGTTATTACTTGAGTAATCATCTTTATCTGATTCATTTCTTAAATAATATCTTTTTTTTCTTTAAGCTATCAATACTATAGTAGTTTATTGCTTTTTTTTTAGATAGATAAGATATTTTGAAACTTATTATTACTAATTAAAATTTAAATCATATATATGAATCATTTGTAACTAATAAAATTTATTTCATATATATGAATCATTTGTAACTAATAAAATTTATTTCATATATATAGAGTTTATATTTCAATTTGATCATAATTATTAATGATAATTAGTAAACTTTGAATATTTATAATATTCCGTATATCCTGAATTTTAAGAAAAATTAATTATTATAATATTTATTCAAACTTTCTTTATTAAATAATAATGAGTTTTAATTAAAAAAAATTTTTTAAAAAAGTAACAAGAGTTTAAAATTTTGTGAATGATTTTAGCTTGTATGCACTATATATAAAAATCGATTTTTTGGCTTATTTAAATTTGATTTGATTTTTGAATCCAAAAAGGGGACAAGTCACGTGATTGGCGTCTTTAAGTGTCGTGCACTGAAAAATTCTAATTCTAATCTTAATTATAATTAAAAATTATTATCGTTATATTTATTATCTTGCGATTTGATTGATTTACCTTAAAAAATCACATGATCCAACACTTTTTTCTAGGATATTATGTATGAAATTGCCCGATCAAAACTGGAATTGATGGATTTATTTTTTTTTGCGTACACGAACGATAAAAATAATAAGTATCTAGAAAAAGAATATAGTACAGAAAGGAAAAATTTTTAAGTCTATGGTAATTCTATCTATAACAAAGCTATTTTTTTTAATAATGGAGAATGAAAAGATTACATAATATCTTTGTGATAAATTTATTGTCTTGATCGAAGTTTTTCTTTTTGCTGCGCCTCCATATCTTGATTCAAACTAATCAAAATATCAGCAATCCCATTGACAAGAAAATACTTTACTTTTTCGGCATCATTTTGATCATTATATTGATCACCATAACTATTAAAGTTATTTCTCTTTTTGTTTTTTGTCAAATTTTGACTATCTAATCGCTGATAGACATTAGTCAAACAACAATCCAACATCGATTTTAGTGCTGTTGTATGGCTCAAAATATGATCATGTCCTTCGAATTTCAGCCATTCGTCGATTATTATTTGAGAAGAACGGTCATTACGGACCAAGGTACTTTCACCGCCAAATAAAATCACAGATAATGGATCAACGCGGGTGGTATCTCGAAGAAATATTTGCGAGTTACTCGATTTGACTTTTTCAGAATATGCGTATAGTGTACCGGCAACGGAGGAATTTGATTCGCCCTTTTTATCCTTACCCTTATCTTTGTCCCCTTTTGGACTGTTTACAGAAGAAGGATGTATTATGGTGTTTTCATCACGGGTGCCAAGTTTTCTTTTTGTGATCTGTACAGATATGTTGGGATAGACACCTGCACATATTATAGCACGAAGTAAAGGAATACAATTCGCGTTGATGTTATATTCTGGTGGACCAATTGTCAATTGTGATCTTTGTCTATTTCGTCCATAATAGTTTTGATTTGATCGGGGAACAACTCCACTACGTTCTAAAAGATTCAATAGTTGTATTTTGATCCTTTCAATATTTTGTAATCCATTTCGATTGAGAAAATTATCAGAACAAAACTTGAAAGATTCTGATATTTTGCCGGTTGATTGAATCTCGTACCAAGCCTTATAAACGTTCAAAACCGAGAAATGGTCACTTAATTGTCCTTGTGCCCAATACATTTTACACGCATCTGATTTTTGCTTTAGACCAGGCGGAGAGAAGAATGGGCTTTTGGAGCCCATGGATGCCGCAATAGTGAGAATCGGATCTAAACATTGAAAGATTGTGCCCAATAAAACCATCTTTCCTAAAGCGGGTTCAACCGGTAATGTAACAAGAACCTTTCCAAGTGGGGTTAACTCCTCGGAATTATCCAAGGCTTGTAACGTCTTTAGGTTATCAAGAGCAGCAGTTACGCTAGCATGGTCTGGGGGTTCAATTGCCTCAGCGAGCACATCAGCAATCGATGTCGGAAGATCAAGCGCCTTAATTTGCAGACATATTTCTTGCAGATCCGAGCGCAATAATTCCGGTGTCGAAAAACCTTCTATATTTTGATAGCGTTTGTTAGACATCATTGAATAATAGACGCCCTCGCGCATACGTCCAGCTCTACCGGCTCTTTGACGTGCATTTGATTGACTAATCCAAGTAGTAATTAGAGCAGTCATTCGTTTTGATTGATCGTATCGTTTTTCTTTAAGTTTTCCCGAATCAATAACATACACAATGTCTGGAATGGTAATTGATGTTTCGGCAATATTTGTTGCTAGAATGATTTTTCGCATGCTCGAATTTGGTAATGGATCAAAAACTTGTTTCTGTGATATTGATGGAAGAGAAGAATGGAGCATATGTATTGTGAATTTACTCTGATCATTAAAGTCAACGCCTAGTGGCTTACTAGCGGTCAAAATTTTATTTAGTGCCGTTATCTCTTCCCATCCAGGTAAGAAAACTAAAACGGAGCCCTCTTTACCAGTTTTGGCGATATGTGCAAGAACTAGTCCCATTAGCTCGTATGGGATTTCAGCATCAGCTAATTCATCATCTTTCTGTTGTTTTGATTTTTTTTTCCAATCGATAATAGCCCCAGACGACGATGTTTCCACAGACGCATCATCATTCTCTTCTATTTCATCATTCTGACTATCGGTTTCCACCTCTGAGGATTTGGGTTGAATTACAAGATTCATCTCGCGATCAATATATTTTTTAAGGTCTTTGGTATTGAATTGAGGCGTTTCCGACGGTTTATATAATGTCTGTAACTGGGTTATTATATCATCCAGATAAAATTTTTCGACGGGATAAATTTTACCGGGAACTTCAATAACTGGACATCTGCCATTCGGAAAGAAATTGCCAAAGTACTCCGCAAATATTCCCGTATCAATTGTTGCACTCATGAGAATCAATTTAATTGGAGGCAAATTATTACGACGTCTTTCGTCAAGAAGACGTTTTAAAATCACTAATAAAAAGTCAGTGTTCATATCTCTCTCGTGTACTTCGTCTATGACGATATGCGTTACACCCTCGAGTGGGTCTTTGTTACTTTGTTCGTCATGAAGACGACGCAAGAAAAGACCAGTAGTGCAATATAGAATGCTTCCAGAGGAAGACGGCATTACACTTTCAAAACGAACTTGATATCCCACCGTCGCTCCTAATTTTTCCGCTCTCTCAACAGCAACACGCTGAGCAACAGAAATAGCAGCAATCCTACGAGGTTGCGTAACAACGATGTTACAACGTGCGCCATTTTTTTTCTTTATTGCATCTTCCAGAATAAGTTGCGGCAATTGAGTGGTCTTACCGCAGCCAGTTGACCCTACAATTACCATTATAGGATTCTCTTCCATAGTTTTTATTATTGTCTCGGCATATTGCGTAATTGGAAGATTATATCTAGTGTCACGCATCTTTTTAGTCTCATTCGAAGTTAAATATTTCTGGTAAGAAGCATAAAGTTGTGCAGATTTTGCGTTAAGAGCTTTTGTTTGTTCAGGACTTTCGCACTTTGGCTTCTTTGCTCTTGCTGCTGTTCTTTTATCCTTAGACGTAGTAATTGATCCCTTTTGGTTCGATTTACTTTCATTTAGCAAATAAGGCTCGTAAAACATTGGTGCATCTCGTATATCATGGACAAGATTCCGAAGAATACGATGCGTTTGCTCACCCATATTTAAAGGAACTAAAGGTATAGTTCTTTTACCATCTTTACTTTTAGTTTGTTCGAATTTTTCCCATAATTGAGGTGATTCTGTCCGCAAGCCAATAGCAGCATCCAGAAAGGCAGCTGTTTGTGCGTCACGTTTAGACGGTCGCTGAGCACTCCCTATCACGGAATTTTCAACTATAATTGAAACATCCCACAGCGTATTACCATTTGATCCAATTGCTTTATATTTACATTCGGGACTCTTGAATTTAAAATATTTAGCGTAAAAACGAATAAAATCTCTAGATCTTTCTTCATTAATAGTTTTTCCTTCGGTTTTTGAGAGAGGTTCTCCTCCATGCCGTGCTTGATATTCTTCAGCTTGTCTCTTGAAATCTTGTGAAGCCCTGAGCTCCGCCTCTTTTTTTGTTCTTCCACGTCCTCGACCAACAATTTCCTGAGAAGGAAGATCCACTTCTGCACGCCAATCGAAACGACCATTTGAAACGAGTTTAAAGTAAGGAACATGATCAAACCTTGCACAATACTCAAATACGTGTTTCTTAGAATCAGAATCAAGCCTCTCCTTAGAACTGGTTATTTTATTCAACATATCTTGCGCTTCAAGTTGATACAATACATGTATTACAGCTATTTTTTCAGCCTCCTTTTTTTTAGTAGCATCCCCATGACCAATAACTTTTGTTCCTTCTAATTCTAACGTAACTGTTGCTCGAAAGAATTGGTCAGCAACATTTTGAAATCTCGAAGAAGAATACGTGCGATTGTTGAGATAACTTTTTGGATCTTTTAGCCAATCCGCATTTTCCGGTTTCTCTAGAACGGCTCTTGTATCAAAATTCGAGTGTATAAAGTCCATGGTATAATGTTCTTTTACAGATTTTTGTTTTACAGGTGAGCTAGCGCGTTTAGAAGTATGAGGTAGTGATTTGGAATGCCTTGGTAGAGAAGTAGTACGTGATACGCTCAAGGGTTTAGGTGTAAGCGATCTTTTTCTACTAGGCACCAATTGTGCCGATAATGAATTTCGCCGCCGTGTTTGTGCGCTTGTGTTTCGATAGTCGATCCTTCTTTCAGAAAGAGCAGCAAATCGTTCATTTATATTATAATTGTCCTCTGGCAGAGGAGGAGCATTTGACATTCGTGGACGATTATTTTGTTGATGAGATGCTTCGACTGATGGCATTGGAGATAATGGTCGCTTTTTCGGCATACTTTGACTATTGATAGTGGTAATCGGAGGTGGGGGAGGTGGAGGAGGTTGAAAAGACAATGGTTGATTTTGAATATGTGCCGATCTTCTGTTTGCGCGTTCTATCGTGGCATTTCGCCAATCATCATTGTTTTTTCGTTTGTCTTGAAATCTGACAGGCCGAGCAATTGGATCAATCGAATCTTTGCTATTGATAGTGGAATTAGCGCTGGTAAATGTAGAATACTCTCGGTATGGTTGACTAAATGAGAATAAGTTAGGTGGGTGAAAGAAACTATGTTGCGAGAAATTAGAAGTTTCGCTGACAGTAGTCTCCGTGACCTCACCAAGCCTACGAGAATATGTGCTGGCATTGTCACGACGGTTAATAGTGTTGCTACCAACTGTTTCCTCTGGATTGGCAGCAACAACGTAAGGTGATGTAGACGATAAGTAACCAATTTGAATAACAGAGGCATTGGGAGATTGCAGAGGTGGAAATGCTTTACCAGAGTTTTGTCCTCGTATCCGGTCTTCTCCTTCTTGCGAATAGTAAGTACTTGATTGAAATATACTCATGCTTGAGTTTCCCGTGCTCGGTTCTAGATTATTTAAGGTTTTCAAGTCTGTTTGAAGATGATTGGAGGTGAAATACGATAGATCGCGGTTATTGTGAAGAAAAGGTGCTGGTGACGTGAAGGTGGAGAAGGTAGTGGTGGCGGCGGTAGTGCTTGTTTGATCTTGTTGCCGGCCTTTCAGGTTTTTATTGATTGTCTGCAATTTCGGAAGTATGTCAGAGGAGACAAAGACTCATTTCCGAGAAAAATGATAAATGAAAGTGGGGTTAAAAAATATAGGGAATAATATGTATATTCCTTTTCGCTTGAGAGTAGCGAGAAGAGGGGATTGCTAAGAATGACGACGAAGAGAGAGATACATCAAACTTTGGAACCACGTTACAGTTTGAAAAACCACTTGACGACCGCCATCCATAGGATCGATGCATAACAAATAATGTATGTAACATCGACACAGATATTTTGGATTTGTGCTTTGTATACATTTGTTTCTCTGTCTTCTTCTTGGACGATAGAGCACAAAACGCGTGTAATAAGATTATTATAAAATATAATATTGTTATAGAAATAATAATAAAGAATAATAATTATATAAGGTTAACATAAGATATGCATATATAACAATAACAAATCAATGATTATTGATATTACCACTGAAAAGGTAAAAGAAGAGAAGGCAATAAAGCAATAGGAAGAAAAAATTTTAAATCGAAATTAGATTAATTAGATTTGCAATCGAAGAAATTAAAATTATAAATTACTCATAATGAATCGTCGTAATGCATATCAATATTTTTTTTTGAGAAACTCGCGTTCATTCAAAAAAGATCCACGTTTTTGTGCAACTCATGAATGTTTAAAGAACTGGAACATTATTGGTGTGCCAAATTGATCAATTTTAAAATTTTATTGCCACCGTAAAACACGCGCACGCAGGTCGTAGATTTGTATCCATTTTTGGGATATGAAGAATTAATTATTTTATTAATTTTTTTAAGATTGCATGACAATGATTTCCCAGCATACATACAAAGGTTTGACGAAAAAATAATAAACAAACACAGATCAATAATCAAGAGACATGATAGAAGTCTAGACCTGTCCCAGCTTCATTTAAATGATGCAAATGTTCATATTAATGAAAGAAACTCAAAGGCTATTCATCGTCGTCATTGACGCTAATTTTGGCTTTTTCTGGAAGGCTATCCAAAAAGTCAAAAAGAATTTCCTTTGGTAATGTTCTAAATCCATTTGTTTTAGAGACGGGACCGAAATTAGTGTTGATAAATCGAAGAGCGCGTTTCTTTAGGCCATTTTCACCGGTGACGGAAGCACATTGATAGATTGTCGCGGCATTGTCGACCTCTATACTCTGGTTAAGTTGAAGACAGCATAACGCGATCAATCTAGGAAGGAAATACATGTGACCTAAGATTAGTAGGTCGGCGATGACTTGAGTGTGAAGAGCTTCATCGATATTATCAGTGTAAAGAAACAAGATAAAGGCGCGCACAGTTTGATAGGATTCAGGGATCGTTAATGTCGTGCTAAATGACTCTGTCATGCCCGAACTGATCATGTTGCTGAAATGTGGCCATCGAGCAAGAAGAATAATCTTGTGCACGTTGATTGGCTTCGAATCGATATCTTGAGCTCGAATAATGAAATCGGAAGTGGTCGGATCATCAAATAAGTTACGGAAATCCGTGCCCATTGAAGAGGGTGGAATTTGATGTAGACCATATTCTTGAAGATCTACGCATAGCACATTTGAAAAATATTCGTCCGAATCTTTCTCGTCGACGCCAAATAAAAAGAATCGTGGCGAATGTTCTGACATGGCAAAATAATGCCAATTACCCTGAACAAGTCTCTCACCGCCTTTATGCTGATCCCATTGAAAAGTTTTTAGGTCGAGCGTCCAAATCCCGGTGTTAAATTCTTGCGCGCCGTATTTTGGCGATTGTGTTACTACGATTATTAATTCATCACCACATAATTGTGCAAAATGTTGACCATTCATTTCTGGAGCGATATCACTCATTATATCGATTTTAGATATTGATTTTGTCTGAAGGTCTATCATTGCCAATGAACTCTCACGGTCCATTTCTTCCGTATATCCGCCATAGACGAAGAGTCGACCCTGATATACAAACGAAGAATGTGAATGTCTTTTCACGAAGGTAAAGGGTTCTTCCCACGTCCACGTAATTAAATTCAGACAATTAACATCCATTGACACCTCTCCCTCTTCCATTGCACCACCCACGATATATAATTTATCTTGATAAATTGTGGCCGAATGTTTAGCTCTGCCAGGTGGAATATTCCCTTGCACCACTGGTCTTTCCCACGTCATTGTTTTCAAATTTAAATAAACAATATCATTGCAGAACTGATCTTCTGCATCCATCCCACCAAATATTATTAGTTTATCGTTATTCCATAGCGAAGCAGTGTGATCATTTCGTTTCGACGGAGGTGAATTTTTCAAATAGATCACATCTTCCCATTTCATTTCTGATACATTCAATCTATATAAATCATTATATACTTCATCTGTGTATTGATGAAACCCACCAAAGACATAGAGATACTCGGGAGGTTGGTCCCAATTATTCCCATTTGGGACTATCGTGACTGATGCATTTACAAGACAATTTATTGGGACACCGGTCGTTCTCTTTGGAAGTGGATAGTCCGCTGAGGAAGAATATTTCGACGAGGATCGAAATTCACCGTGTGTTAAGATGGGTGTAGTTGCTAGTGTTGAAGATGAGGAAGGAGATGGTGTGCTTATTGGAGAGGAATAGGAATCTGAAATCATTGCTTTTCTTGTGTTCTTTATAATCGTCATAAACGGAAATAAAAACATTAGGTCAATGATTTGAAAAGGATGTTTTTTTTTAAAAAAAAAAAAACAAAAAAAAAACAAAAACAAAAAGATAAACAAACGCTGTACATACAAATACTATTTATTCTTTCTTTCTTTAGAAATCTATTTTCTACTTGAACAAAAATGACAGATACTCTAGCGTTTCAAAGTTTCTCGTTATTGCTTTGAAAAATTTCAGAATTTGGTTTAAGGGGCAAACTGTCAATTTTCCCAAAAATAAAAATAAACAATAAAGCAAATGTAATTAGTATATTCTTCTAGAATTTATACGAAATTTTACGCTTATAGGCTTTTAAATTGCTAGCTCGAACCACAGGCTGAGTATGTATAGTATATATGGACGCGTACGGACACGTATAACGCGCGGGTAATAACAGACTCGAATATCAAGTGACCTGAATGGGTCTTTATAACCACGTATATATAATGAAGCTATTGTGTTGATATTAAGGGTCACAAAAACAATTGTTTTTTTTTTGCCGAGGATGAATTACTTACATTCTAGTACTAGTAGCAGGGAAAAATTTTTAGTGTTGGTTTCTCAACCAACGTTTTTAATATTATGGTCTGGTTTCCTTATAATTTGACTCCTGTATTGTTGGACAAATTTCCACTATTGGTTATATTTTCACAATGAATGAAATAACGTGACATTTTTTTACATTTCGGATCATATTATTTTTTTTTGTTTCCCGATTTACGTTCATTCAAACTGTTGCCTTTTCAGAAGCAAATAAGAATTTCAATTAGCGATATATTCAAGATTCTAAATAATTTTTTTAAAATGACTATGTTTGATGGTACCTGATACATGCTATTCGGAAATCATTGACATTGGTATTACGATACTTATTACCTGTGATTAAGCCAGTTAGAATCATAGATGTATGTAATGCACTTAGAATCCTACTTTCATATGATGATAAAGTAACAGTAAGTTTATGAGCAAACAAAAGTGACGATTCATTCAGTTACAAATGTGTGTATGGATGGGTCTGAAATTACCTAATGCATTTTGTAATAATGAGAAATGATGAGATCTCTCAAGTTAGTTGATTCATGCGTTTTTTTTCCTTTTTAACTTTTGAATTACATGCATACTAATCTATCCCTAATATTTATAGAAAATATCCGGAGATGTTGCAGGAATCAATTATTAGACTCTCTAGAGTTGGCACTATAATATATAGGTTTTTCAAAGTTAAAATAATGATACTCGTGATTTAGTGTTAGTGACGATAGGAATGGAATATTTTATCTTATTTGGGCGAGCAAGAACGAATCAACTTACGAGGTGTAAGAATAATTAAAGTGAGTGATCTTTATTAGAATAGTTGATTATTTGGTTGGTTGTTCATGGACTGTTGTATCTTTGGTCTTTGAATAATACAAGAATTGATACTCTCAATAAAGATAATATCAACAAATAATTGTCATAACTATGATGCCATATATCAAAAATATGGGGTCATCAAAATTTGTGATCTCATAGCCATAACCGAAATTCACCCCCGAAACGATATTTTCATGTCTTTTTTCACGTAATTGATATTTAATGAAAAGCACCTTGGGAAAAGAGGTATAACGAAGATGGGTATTATGAAGTCTGTCACATTATATCAAAAAGATATCACGCATATCAATAATTATGCCCTCCACACATTTTGTTATGACCTTTTTATACCTTTAGAGATAATGTGACTTCGTCACAATATACATCCTCCCTTTTCTCTGGTAATTGTATAACATTTTGCTAACAAAGCATTCGCAGTGAATTTGATAATAATGATTATTAATAAAAAGTAGATACAAGAAAAACCAAATAAACCATGATACAAACGGAAAAACAAATAAGACAAAATTGTACGAAGACGAAAAAAGCACGCTTAAATTGAGTCCCAAGTCGCATTATGACCAACTCTCTGTTTGCCCATAATGAGACTGGGGGCTAAATTTATTGACGTGTATCATAAATCAAAAAAAAAAAGATGAGTAGGTTTATACGGAATAATGATAATATGGCAGTAAAAAAAAATTGCATCAACTTTGATTTTTGTTGTCTTTTCTGTTATAATTCTTCTCTCACTTCCCAGAACTTATTAATCGATCAACACCTCATCATCTTCGTCAGGATTCAAGATTTTTTCATCGCCCGGTAAAATGCATGTGCACACAGTTTCAAGATATCCAGGATTAGCTTCAATTTTATCCAATACCTTTTGTGCGGCCATTTTTCGCGAAGTTCGGATATTGTTTGATGATGCTGATGCCACGTTATCGTTATGAATGAAAATCGTGCAATGTTGTGAATTATCGTCGAGGCTATTTTCGTTAGTATCATTTCTATTTGACACAAAATACCAATAATATTAGTATCCTGTATTTTTAGATACTACAAGTGGCAAAAAGGTTTGTACATACCTCAATAACAACCCGGTGCATCCTTCTTTTTGTATAAGTTCTGTTAATTTTTTCACAGGATGAACTTTCAAATATTCAGGAGTTACGTGAGCACTAAGAACTGGCCTAATACATTTGTCGAACATGTTTTGTGGGACCCTAATATCAAATCCGGAATCAACGAAGACTGCTCCTAACATACTTTCAACTACATCACTAAGAACTTTAGGAACTTCGATATCACTCCAATATTCACCGACAGCTTCGTCTTTATCCCTCATGTCATTCACGACATTGCAGAAATCGGTGATGTTAGCACAAAGCTTTGGTGAAAAATGAATGATATGTTTATGCAATCCCATAATTTCACAAATAGCTCCAAGAATATGGTTGTTTACAGAGGCATCTTTAAGGTCAGTAATCATCCCCGGGGAACCATCAGGATACTTCTCAAATAGATATTTTACAGTCATAAAGTCTAAAATAGCATCACCCAAAAATTCGAGACGTTGGTAACATGCTGTCGTCGAATTCGGCAGACTGGCATGTGTTAGAGCCTCGGCAATCAGAACCTTGTTTCGGAAAACATATCCACCACAAATTCGCTCGATTTTTTCAACGTCTAAGGTTTTAGCAGATTTTTGGGTGGCACGAGGCAGATTTTTGTTATTTGGATGGAATTGCGACCATTCGGTAATTCCTTCAAACGGGATTAGCAAAGCAATCGCGGCCTTCAAAGCTGCCTCGGATTTACCGCTGAGATAGGCAGCGCCTAATAAAGCTTCGACCACATCGGCGAGAGTTTTATCAGCTAATTCATGCATTTTTGGTTTTACAAGCATTTCCGGATCGTCGATCGATGCAAGCATATTTGCTGGTCGCCACGCGCGTCGGTTGAATGGCAAAGAAGTAATGTATTCGTAAAGATGTAATTTTTTCGCATTACGATATAGATTTCTATTACAGATGATATGAATACGTTGACAATGCAATTGACCTTCATGTTTATCAGGAAACATGACATAAAGTTGTATGGTTACACAGAATTTCAAGAAAGAATCGCCCAAAGTTTCGAGACGTTCATAGTTCATGTCCATATTTGCTGATGGAGTAGTCATTGCCACAAGAAGCAAGTCATCTCTTATAGGTAATTCGAGATTAAGTCTTAATTCTCTCACGAGAAGAAGAGAGTTAATTCTTGTAAATATTGACGGTAACAGCATAGCAGAACGGAATACCGATGCTCCAATTGAGTATTGTTTACTGAATTCGGGAATAATAAAGGTTGCGGTTTTTCCTTTTTCTTGTGGAACAGCTCCAGGAACAGGTTGCAAAAAGTTCATGACTTTGGAAATTTTGCGTACTTGAATCAATGGTTGTTCTGGACGTTCAAGATCAAGATCGAATTGTTTTTTGTAATATTGAGCAAAATTTTCACAACCAGCTTCTCGAAGTACCATGCCTTCTGGAAGGGGAGTCAAAGGATTCATGTCATAACGAATAGATTGAACAAAATATCGTCGTAAATTGTCTGCGTAATCGATGATTACGGCATCTTCCAACTCGCTTGTATTGTCGAGATCGACTGGCAGATGTTTGAAATTTACTGCCATCTCAATTGCATCCCAGTCGATGAACTTTATAGTATTCTCATTAATGGGGGCATTGCGAACTAATGGAGCAATCAGATAGGTGAATCTCTCAAGCTCACATTGAAATTCTTTGTTAATGATCGAGGTGAAGGCGCGCAAAGTGAACTTGCAAACCAAATCCATCTTCTCTCTATCCATTTTGATTTTTTCCGAATAAGTGAGAACTTTTAGATTTACTGCAACACTGTGGAACCAAAGCGTGATATCAGGTAAATCGGGGACTTGATTTCTGGTCAATAAACACAATGTGCGATAGGGATATCCATCTAATTTCTCATCTTCGAGATCCAATTTCAAGATAGTCGCATAAAGCTCCTCTGGAACTTGGGGATCTTCTTCTAAAGCCCATAAGTCAGGAGATTTTAGCCGATACTCTCTTTTAGATTTCCTTGCACCTTCCACAAGGCCATGTTCATCTACAACAGGCTTCATCATTTCATGATCCTTTTCATCATATTCAACAGCAGGCAACAAATGATCATCTAATTGCTTTTTCTCGTACAATTCTAAACATGCATTGAAAGCTGCCGATTTCTTGGCCATACCACGGCTACGAAAGATCTCGCTAACCACAGTTCTAACGGGGCAGTTACTAGGTAAGGTCAACGTACAAGTATAGACATCACATTTTTGTTTGATGTTAAACTCTGGCTGCAATGCTCCGGAATAACTATCAGAAGGTAGTCTGGAACAATAATAATACAATAATGGAACAGCGGATTCATAACTTAAAAGAGCTCCTGTTCTTGGAATTATATGAAATCGTTCTTTTATAACTCCATCTTCTTCGTCATCATCATCATCGTCATCGTCCATTTGTGCCGCTACTTTGCGGTCTTCTGGAAGCATTTCACACCATTTTCTCATTTCTTCTTCGGAATCACGCATTTCTTTAAGTAAGCCTAGTTCTTTATTATTTTCCTTTTCAACCATCACAATATATTTTGAGTCCTTGCGTCGAGCTCTTCCTCTGGACTGAATGTAAGCTCGGAGTGTATTAAAGAAATCAAATCTTTAGGTTTAAAATGAATTCCTTAATTTTCGTTTCAATAGAATATTAAATTTGTAAATTCGGCAAATTTAGATTATTCTTACCTAATGACAACATTGCAGGGTTGAATATCTAAACCTTCCTCGGCCACATTAGTAGCAATAAGCAAATTGATGGTACCTTCTTTGAAGGAATTGATTATCTTATTTTGTTGTCTGTATCTCATCTGAAGATCGCCCGATTCATTTGTCCCATGACCTACAAGCACTCCGGTTTTAATAAAATCTAACACGCCAAGCTCACGAATCACAAGATCCAAGACATTTGCCGTATGTCGACGCTCCACAAATACAATTCCACAAAACTCGTCCTTAATCTCTCGAAAACAATTCAATACCTGAATCAATTTTATAACCTTTGGCGAGAGAACAGCAGGATCGAGTCTCGGTGGTTCGAATTGCCATTTTTCGAATATTATCAATGCTCTTTGCAATAGACGTTCTTCCTCCTCAAGTAAATCATGATCATACTCATTAGGATCCAATTTTCCTTCTTTCCTTTCGATTATATCGTCTAATATATATTTCCACGTCCGATCGGAACACCAAGGCCCAAGCATACTAAGTACCTGTTCTGCGCTCGAAAAAGCTCTTTGAAACTTTTCTATTCCACTGCATTCTTTCGATAAAGTCGAGAAAAGCTGGGTCATTTGATATTCGGGCGGTCTTTCATACTGGATCGAAACTTCTTGAGGGCGATTGACAAAACGTCGTAACTCGTCGGTATTACTTGCTGTGAATACCTTCGAATGTAAATTATTTTCAAGATTGCTGTGTATTATTTATTTTTGTAATGCAAATTGCAAATAATTTTTTTTATAAAAATGTTCCACCATTATCCTTATTGCAAAATATTATTTTGGAGACTAACCTAGCTGCATTAATACCACTGCGAGTTTTCACAGGAGAAGCTGTCATTCCAAATATTTTGGGTCTGTCCTTCTCGGGACATCGATCGAAGAATTCTCTCATTATTAGATTGTACGGATGTTTTTTTGCAGCGTGGTGGCATTCGTCGAAAATCAGCAAATTAACCTGTGCATATCAGTGAAGTAAAGTTAATAAAATAAATGAGTTACCAGGCATGATCCACGATAAGAAAACGCGTTTATCAAAATCCTAAAAATAAAATATATATTGTTCTCACTCGATTGATCGAAATAAATCCGTGTCGTAAAATATTCAAAAAGATTTGAGCAGTCATAACTAGCACGTCGTACTGTTCAAAGTAATTTCGCCATTCTTTCTCACTCCACAAGTCTACTCCCATCTCACCGCAGAGAGGCTTTATTCTCAAATCACAATTTGATTCAATGACTTTTGATTGTTGAAAAACAAGCGGCACCAGATTCACCAGAAAAAAGGTGAGTTTTGTCTATTAAAAATCAAAGTTACAATAAATACCCAAGGACAGCATTTGGTTTAAATTCGATAAATAATTTTCTTCTTTTCCGTCGTAAAATACCGAATCGTTTTTATTACCTCTCTTCTAAGCCTTCTCAACATTCGTTCTTCAGCCACAACCTCTTTTATTAGGAGAACAGCTATGAAGGTCTTGCCACTTCCGGTCTCCAGTACGGCAATGACATTGTCCTTTTTTGCCTTTTCCCATAATTCGATTTGATATTTACGTGCTATTAAAGCATCTTTAGCAGTTTCAACAGGTTCTTTTGCTTCTGGGATTTTTGCAGGCTTATTTTCAGAGATCATGCCATTTGTTGTAGCAATAGTAGTAGTAGTTGTCGTCGTCGTCGTTGTCGTCGTCGTCGTCGTTCCTTTAACATCCATCTTACAAAAAATCAAAAAAAGGGACAAGTGGGGAGTATGACGATTGATTCGTTGATCAAATGCACGACGCAGTTCATCAGGTTCATCAGTTGAAAATAAAATCTTGGATGATCAACAAACGTATGTTTTTATGTTTTGAATAAATCAAAAATGTCGAACCCATATACATGGCGCAATGTACAAGCTAACCCATATGCAGGGTTGCAAGCTGAAGAGTTGGATCCCGAAAGCCTGGAAGCAGAAGCGTGGAGAGAAGAACCACCACCCAGAGAGGAACAACTACTTGAAGAGGATGAAGCTAATGCGTGGAGAGAGAATTTAATAGATAATGCTCCTAGAAATAACAATCCAGACGATTTTTGGCTGGTTTGCATCCTATTCTGATCTATTCATATTTTGTTATATAACGAGTCGAAACTACAAAAGTAATAGAACAGCCATTCAAAAATATGATACATTAACTTCATTTCTCATTGGAATTTTGGAATTAGATTCCTCCTAACGTGACTAAGCAGGAGATTTTAGGGGAAAGAAGGTGTAATATGGAATTAATTATAAAATCAACTAATACTCATATGCAGTACAATGAAAAAGATGCGGTCAGATTTTACATAATCAGATATTATACTTGAAATCCACCAATTTTTTAAGAAAAAGAAAAACGACAGAAAATATTCATACGTATATGATTATTGACGAATTCTATTAGAAAATTGAAATTTGGGGAACGCGAACCGATATTGACCAGGCAATCAAGCAATGGAATTCATTAGCTACAAATCTTCTATATGTAAGTGATTATATTCAATTGATCTATTACTATGATAATGATAATAATGATGCGATGATTTATTTGTGCTAAAAAAGAACCTAGATAGCAAAAGGAAAAAGGGAAAGGAACGAGGAAAGGAGCAGGAACAAAGCAAAAAATGGGCAAAACCCGAAAAAGCGCTTACAGATAAACAGAAGAAGAAACTTGAAAGGAGGAAAAAGCGTGAGGAAGATATGAAAACTTTCCAAGGGTTTTGTATCGATAAAAAACCGTATAATGGGTTTTTTATGTTGCCTGATGACGAGATACCAATAGAAACACTTATCGGCAAGAAGGAAGAAATTTTGCATCCCGTTCGTGCTGAAACTAACTGTTACATGTGGTATGAACATGGAGAGAATGTAAGCGAAATGTTCAATTTCGGGTAGAACTGTTGTTTCGGCTAAATTATTTTGGAATTGAGAAATTAAATTCTGCTTGTTTTGTCTGTTAATTTTTACCAGATCTTACAGGTTTCTGGTGATAGTCGCGAAAATGTTGATGAAGCTACAATGCGCATCAGAAACCTATATTTAAAAATTGTTGCGGTAAGATATTTAAGTGCCTTGAATCTAAAATTTTTCATTTACGTTACATACAGTCAAACCTCCCTAAATGCAGCCTCCCTAAATGCAACACCTCTCTAAATGCAGGCTCAAACTCTGGCCCAAATATATACTTAACCTCCATAAATGCAATATTTCTTATTGTTCTCTAAATGCATGATGTCAAAAAGTTGGTCCGAGCAAGTTGCATTTAGGGAGGTCTGACTGTATATATATATATATATATATATATGTGGATTATCCTAAAATTATTTTGTCAACAGTTCAGATCCATCCCCAAACTTAAAAATAAGGACGACGATGAGCCGCCAAAATGTCGAGGATGGAGCTCCCATGTGATAGAATATCCTCAAACGCCCCTGAAAGTAAAAATAGTCATGCCACCGCCAAAACATTTAAAACTTCCTTATGATGCGCAAGGTCAGTTAGCAGTATTGGAAGCAGTAACGTATGACGAAGAGAAAAAATTAAATCAACTTGAGGAAGATTATAAAAAGGTGCTCGAGAAAGTATTAGAAGAAAAAAATAAATATATGCTTACTTTACAATCGTAAGTGCTTTATGATATTTCATGTCTTTTTAGTTTTTATTTTTTAATGTATATTAATTATATGTTTTATCCTATGTAGCAATAATGCGAGTAACCTTGCAATGATTGAAAAAACCCTTCTTCAAGGATTGAGAATAGTGCATTTGTTTGACGAAGAAATAAAAATGCGTGTTAGGTAGCAACACTTAAACTATTCAAATATAATATATATACATTCTTACGTTGCGTATTTCATCTCATTATTTTATACATTCACCCAAATAATAACAGATTTGGTCATGTCATTCTTACGGATTTTCCAAAAACTCCTTTATGGAACATCAATAAGTTAAACGAAAGAATTATGAGAGATTCGCGATTTCACTCCAAGTTCGCTACTTGGTATGTAATCAGCGCATTAAATCTGGATTAATTAATTTGACAAATAGAAAATTTAATTATCTTTTGTGTCAAAGTATTGCTGATAATTTACAGACGCTTCAACCGTTATTCGAAGTGCTTTCAGAGAACAATATACAACAGGAAGTGGACGCGCTTTCAGAGAACAATATGCAACGGGAGAACGAGGTGTCTTCTGAGAACAATACGCGATGGACAGGCTCTCCTTTTGTAGAATACAAAATCCGAACAAAGCACGTTAAAAATTGGGATTACACTTTCGATGTGCAATTCAAGAAAGATGATAAGATAGGCTTGTGGAATGTTGTAACGAACGAAAAGCATATTATAGACATTAATGTGGCATGTTTGGAAAAGTAAATCTTGCTGTATTCATTCAAGAATCTCGAATGTCATGAGTTTTGCGACTAAATTTATTTTCTATACAGCGATTATTCTTGGCGCATAAGCTTGGACGCTGCGAAACGTGTGTCCAATGACAAACATTCACCGCAAGGACTTTTTGTATATCGTTTACGACTCAGGTAGATTTTCTCATTCCTCTTAAATCTTCATATTCTCGATATTTTTAATTAAACCTCTCGAGACGTTAGCCCGAGCAAACGTTTGATCTACACCAACAATGATGAAATTCGAGTAATCTCCGTGTGTAAGAAGACCAAATGGAAACATTGGTGGAACACGGATTATATTGTTGAAGTGACTAGGTACGAGCTCTGGGATTGCCATGCAAACAAACAGACTGGTGTAGAGATTACTCTGGACCTTGATGAACCGATCAATATAAGCTATGGTGTTACGGTAAGATTCATCATAAGTCATTCAAATAAAAGAACCTACTTTTTGATACATGAAACTTTAATACAATAAATAGTTATATCGAAAGTCTTGGGACGACGACTTTGCATGTAATTGCAATCTAAAGGTTGGCGAAGCACCAGAATGGCATCCTAACGACATCCTAGATCGGGACAAACCTGGAGGATTGAATAAACTATTAAATGAGATTCGCGAGTTTCTGAAAATATTAGAAGAAAAAGTTCCATTTAGTAAATAAGGTAAAATGTTATATTATTGCTAGTCTTTTTTTGGCTACTTGAAATTCTCCCAACGCATTAGATTCACAGCATTAATATCGTAATAATATAGCAACTTTTCCTTAGAGTGAAAGATTATTCTTGGGGGTTTTATTTATATGCAAAGAATAAATTATACGATTTCATCTCTTTAAGAGCATGTTAATATATTCGGCCGATTTTTATTGATATAGACCTTGAACACCCCTAATATTCTTATTAACAATAAATAATAAATCATAATCATAATCATAATAATAAAAGTACGGTAAAAGTCGCCTTTCCCTATAAAAACTATCTACTATTATTAAAATATTATTGGTTAGGACGTGGAAGGATCGTCATAAATCTTGGATATTGTGGAGTAGTAAAATTTTGTGATGTATTATTGATAGGAGAAATAAGTTGCTGATCAGACAAATTACGAGATTCAAAGGTGGTAATAGTAGTCATATTGTCATCAACAATAGATGTTCGAAATGCATTGTCACTATTAGATGACAGTGATTGAGATGCATTATTATTTGTTATAGATTTCCTTGATGTGTCGATACTGCTACCAGAGTTATTTGAGTTGTTATGCGCATGTTCCATATGATAAGTTAAGCCATTTTGATTTTTATAACTTTTTTTGCAACCACCCACTTTACATACATATGGTTTTGGTGCAGACTGATTATTAGTTCCTTCATCGGCAGTGTCATTTTTATGTCCAGATGAGCCTTTTGCATTCTTAAGATGATACTCGAGTCCATTGATATTCTTATATTTTTTGTTACATCCGGGCATCGCGCATTGAAATGGCCTATCATTCGCAGCTTCAGGGTGAGCAGATTTTGAATGATAGAATAAGCCACTGGAATTATTATAAATATAATTACAGCCATCGATCCCACAACCGTATGGTTTTTTTGAAGGATCAAAATCTGTTTCCATGGGAATATCGACAATTGTATTTTCTTCAAGTGGGGAATAAGAAGCTTCTGTAAAAGTTGGCGGTGGTGAGGACGGCGAGGTAGTTTGGAGCACGGGAACTTGTGGTGGAAGATCAAATTGAGGTGGAGGTGGATCAATTATTTCCATGATGCTATGATGTGGCGCTGTTGACGAAACATTTGGCGACAGCAAGGAAGAAATACTAGGATTACTGGATGCGGTTGAAGTTGCTAAAGTTTCTTCCATCGTGGTCTGAGTAGGCGAAATCTCTGATAACATTGAATCAGAACGTCCCATAAGATCCATGAGAGGGGTCGAACTTGCCAACGATTCTGCGTTGTTCGCTGTGACCTGCCTATAAGCTGCCATATCATTATTACCCGAAGAAGAGGACGATGGTGAGGATGACGTGGCCTCGACCAGGATTTGAGGCATTTGAGGCGGCGTTATTTCCATTTCAGATATTTGTGAAACTTCATTGGTTGGAGCCGACAAGGATTCTTTCTTATTTTGTCTTTGTATTTTTCGCCATCTGTTACGACAGTGTAAACCAGGGCGACCGGGAAAGAATCTAGCAATTTCTTGCCACTTACTACCCAATTCATTATATTTACGTAGCAACCGTTCATCTTCCTCCGCGGTCCATTGTTGTTTACAAATTGCCGGATTCAAGCTTTCTCTCCATCTTTTAGCACATTGATCATCCGTTCGCCCGGGAATATTTTTAGCAATAAGACTCCATTTTCCAGCATGTTGCTCATATCCTTTCGTCAATAAATCATCTTCTTCGTGTGTCCACGGACCTTTTCGCAAACTAGGGTCAAGAGAATGAAACCAACGTTTCCTACAATTTTTATTTGATCTGTTTGGAACGCATGCCGCTATTTTCGACCACTTGTCCGTGTGGTCTCCGTAGATTTGGACTGCTAACCGAAGCAAATTGTCATCCTCTGTAGTCCATGGTTTTCGAGACTTTTGAGCAGGTTGCGGAGGTGGTGGTTGCGGCACATTTTTCAACGGTGGAAGTGTATTTGCGGCATCTTGAAAAGTGTAAGGAAGAGGCGGTTGGGAACGTCCTCCTATTCCCTCAAACTGAGACGAGGAGCTATTATTACTGCTGCTGTTGTTGCTGTTGTTTGAATACTAACAATAGAATAATAATAATTGTTAGCCAGATGTTAAGGAATATCCAAGGAAAAAAACTATAGTTATTTTTGTGACTTGCCATTACATATAAAATTTTTTTTGTAATATTCGTCGACACGGACTTTACACGGAGAAAAAAAATGACTGTTCTTTCTTCACACACAAATTCTCTTCATGTTTGTATCTAACTTAATTCCGGCCAAAAATTTATGCGATAAATTTTTAATGCCAGGAAAGGCTAAATTTTACCATTTTTCCCCTTTTGTCCACGATACGAAAAAAATGGCTTCAACCTCCTCCACGCAAGTTGACAAAACCTCACCGCTAGTTGAATCTCCACAAATCCCCTCACTAGAGTCTCTCCTAAGAAATTCCGCAAAACGTACACGTGCAATGTTTCAAGAAAGAACAGACTCAGCTTCGGTTTTGGAAGTAGAAGAAAGGTCAACTTACTAAGTCTATTGATTCTAGTCTATTCAGAAAGCTGTTGACATGTTTTAAGTTAATTCTGGTCCGAAATTTTCAAGGATCCTTTACTGTTTTGATTTCGCGATCTAATTACCTTTTTAACTACGACTGGGCAACAAAAATTAACCATTTGGTTTTTTTTTTTTTTTTTTGATTAATAAATAATAGTCAACGGATAAAACTTCGCGTAAAGCTTAATGACGAATACAAAGATGCACAAGAGTTACCACCAGTAGTATTGGCACAACAGGGTAAAGTAACACGACCACAAAAGCAACAACAGCCTGCCGCTATTGAAGGACCTTCAGCAGAAAAATCGGGTGCATCAAACGAAACAAATGGATCAAGTAGTCAAGTAGTGCAAATAAGCGGAGGTCACCCTTTTCCTTCTGCACCTGGTAATTAGATCGTCTAACGCTTGTTCACAAATTTTGTCATATTTAACACGAATCCATTTATTTAGGTGTTACTCTCTCTAACGAAACTGCCATTGAAGCTGAAGTATCAGAGAGTAGCGTTTCGCGTCTAATTGATAGCTTACCGCCGACCAAAGCACAGTAAGTTTTATTAAGCTTGCACATTAACTAATTATTTTACATACTTGAACCAACTCCTCTTCTCTGCTCTATAAAGAGAAGAAGCAGCAAAACATGCTCATGGTGTTGTTGCGATAAGACAAAAAGCCGGATTTAGAGCTGGACCAGAGGCAAGCACCGGATCTCTTATTCGACGTCAAATGCCAAAATCAATAAAACCGGGATGGCATCCACCCTGGATATTAATGAGAGTTATTAGTGGACATTTGGGCTGGGTGAGATCAGTCGCGGTAGAACCAGGTAATAAATGGTTCGCCACTGGAGCTGGTGATAGGACGATTAAGGTAACATTATTTCAATTCTCTGGTAATCTTCATATAACTGTTTACAGCGAATTTTCGTTTCCGGTAATATTACTTATCAAAATTTGAAACCTCTTAGATATGGGATTTAGCTTCTGGCACTTTAAAAGTAACTCTTACGGGTCATATTTCGACTGTACGTGGTTTAGCAGTCTCTCCACGGCACCCATATCTATTTTCATGTGGTGAAGATAAGATGGTGAAATGCTGGGATCTCGAACAAAATAAAGTTATTCGACATTATCACGGACATTTATCGGGAGTCTATTCTTTAAGCTTGCACCCTACGCTAGACGTATTGGTCACCTCGGGAAGAGATGCTACTGCAAGGGTAGATAAAATCAAAACTATTGGAATTTAATCAATTTAAAATACTATATATATATATATATATATGTTCTTAATAACAGGTTTGGGATATGCGTACAAAACAATGTATTCATGTTTTGACCGGACATAACACGACCGTGGCCGATGTAAAATGCCAAGAAGTAGATCCGCAAGTAATAACAGGTTCAATGGACTCCACCATTCGTCTTTGGGATCTCGCCGCGGGAAAAACAATGGCAACCCTTACACATCATAAAAAATCTGTACGCGCTCTCACGTTGCACCCTAACGAATTCACTTTTGCAAGTGGAAGTGCGGATAATATAAAGCAATGGAAATGTCCGGAAGGAACTTTCATGCAAAACTTTGAAGGGCATCGTGCTATTATTAACACTCTTGCAGTAAATGCAGACAATGTTTTATTTTCCGGAGGTAATTTTTATGCTAGTTTTTTTATCTTTGCATGAGAAAAATTTCAAGGCACACCTCTAATATGGTTTTTGGCTTTGGCTCTTTAATCAGCTGATAATGGTTCAATGTCATTTTGGGATTGGAAATCCGGGTACAGATTCCAAACTATGGATGTAACGGTACAACCTGGATCTCTTGAATCGGAGGCGGGTATTTTCGCATGTACTTTCGATCGTACGGGCTTGCGATTGATTACTTGCGAAGCTGACAAAACGATAAAAGTGTACAAAGAAGATCCAAAAGCTGTAAGTAAAAAAAAAATAAAGAAAAATTCAAGCTTTGATGAAGTAAAGATTAAATAAACTCTTGTTTTCTTTAGACTCCAGAAACGCATCCTATTGATTGGAAACCTTCTTTGGTGCGGACTCGTTATTAAAGATATTATTTTGATTTATTTTATAAACATTAGAGCAGTTTGGCATAAGTGTTTCAAAAAAAAAATAGTAGTAGCGGTAGATTGCAAATCTAGCAACACGATCTTTTTGGAGGAAAAAATTTACATTTTACAAATATAGACATGCATATATTTTAAACGCAAAAGCAAAAACCTCAGATCAAAAACTGAATAAAAAATATTTAACATTGAATTGCATTTTCAAGAATCACATCTTCGTATCCTTCCTTGATGTTCATTGCAGTTGTTCGCGCGTAAAATCTTGCCGATGAATTATTTATTGTCTTGATGACTTGTAATCTGTCTGTGTTTCACATCCGCTTCAACATGATGACTTTTGCTGTATCAAGATTTAAAAAGTTGGAAAGTAGGTTGCTGATAATACACTCATACAATAGCTCGATAAAATGTCCAACATATATACATACTAGCACGAGAAAGAAACAATGTGATGTGAGGATGATGATGATTATTAAAAATAAAACGACTTACCTGGTCATTTCCAAGCTAAAAGATATCTTTGCACAGAATTAAAACGCTAAGCGTAACGTGCATGGTATAATCTCAAAATAATCGACATTGTCACATAGACACGTATTGTGATAAGTTGGGAGTTTTGTAATGTAGAAAAAAAAATACGATCACCCAAAAAGCAATTTTTTTAAGATGTCCGGTGTGGGACTCGAACCACACATCATTGCCGAGGATCCTCAGACTTTCTTCGGTCTTATCTCCTGACGAAAAAAAAAAAAGAAAACATAAAGAGAATCACATTAAGAAATGATACGACCACATACACATACACGTCGTGAAGCATATGTTGTAGCAATATCTTTTCTCGAGTGGTTTCGTACGCACAAAAAAAATAATAAAGGCATAAAACCGAAATATAAAATTTGTGTTCTCATGATAAAATATGAAGAAAATATAAAAATAGAAAGCACTTATTTGAAAAGGAAAAAAAATCGTTGCGAAAACGAGATTTTTTTGGTGAAGGTGATGACGTAAATCAAACATCTAAGAAAGTGTAATAAGAAAAAAACCATCGAGAAAGGTTAACGAGATGATATTATTGTGGAGAACGGCGAGAAATGGTTGTTTGATTACGTCGATACTATTGCGGATCGATATGTAATTTTTTTTTGGTTCTTATTTCTTTCTGAGTACCAGTTTTCAGTTGACACAATGTCAATCATCGTTGTCGCTTTATGTTATTAATGTTATGATGAATGACCTAGTGCTGGATTTGGTAGCGAGTGCTTTTTGTAGTGTTGTGACGTGATGTTGATGTAGTGGAGGTCGATTTAAGAAAGAGTAAAGACTTTTTTTTAAAAAATTTAAACTATTCGAAAATACTTGATTGTACTACGTATATTAAATACGGGAATTTGATTAAAGAAACGCAGTGAAAACTTTTTACGGATGTCAGCAGTAGTGACATTACCGTAGGATTGCCCTGTTGGGCAGTTGGAATTTGCTAAATCTGTTTTGTTGTTATGTTGTTGTTGTTGTTATGTTGTTGTTGTTGTTACTGTTATGTTGTTGCTGTTATGTTGGAACACAAAAAAAATTGATAAATGAAAAAGCCCCACTTTTTTTTTTCGCGAAACAATAAAAGCTAAAAAAACTCCGGCGTGCGGATATAACATTGTTCGCAAAGACATCACCGTCTTTCTTTACATTATTCACCAGAGCATTCTAACGGAAATATGAGGTTTAGCCGCCACTATTTGCGAGAGAATACTTTGAGTGTGCAAAAAATGTACGACTGTCGTGAGAGAGGAAAAAGGTTTTTTTTTGTCTACGTGTTTGGTACTGATATAAAAGTATTGTTCCTCCGTATAATATCCGTATAATATCCGCAAGATGAAGATCGAGATACCGAAATGTATATACGCTGACTGCTTGCGGGCTCCGTTAAAGAGAAGGAGTCGGTCGATTTATTTGTATATGAAGCAGGACGAACCAGTAGGAAAAGGAGAAACGAATAAAACTCGACTTGGTGATTGTCGATGTATTCCGAGTCCATTGTCGATGGGGAAAAACTCTCTCGTAGGTTGGACCACCTCAATTAATTATCGATAAGATCCACCCTAATTCCTCAATTTTTTTTGTGTTTTAATTCAAGGTGAAGCCGGGATTGGCCCTCCTTTATTTATATTGAAATTTTAATTATTAAAAGTGAAACTGGTGTCTCAACTTTTATGACATTTCGATCTCTTATTCAGAGACCAATACGAAAGCATGAAAATCTTAAGATTTCCATTCTCTTTATCACTACGAACACGAAGGTGTCCATAGCGATCGTTCATATCTACCAATAGCACAAATGTGTATTAGCAGATATAGTCACTACTAACACTATGATGTTAGCAGAGGTAACTCTGTAATTCTAATTTTGGTGAACACCAGGCATCATCGCCGTCATTATCAATTTTTTCAACCATATCTTGTTGGGGTGTCCGATAAAAACTCTCATGCATGCATGCACACGTGTGTTTTTATGAATAACGAATTAAAAAAGGGAGAACTGAGGCGAAGAAAGGTGTCGAAGGTTCGCGTAAAGAGATGCTTGTGGAACAGAGTCCAACGCAATTTCTCGGAGTGTGCATACACGTATAAAAAACCCCTCAATTTTACAACTGACAAATATGAAAAATATAAAAAACGTTAAAAAAAGATATGGTGGTATTCGGGGAACTAAATTTGTTCAATAAGACCAAATTGTACGAAGAAAAACATGAAAAAAAAATAATAGATATACGGAAATAATGATGAAATATTAAAGTAGAACAAAAAAGTAGAAAGTCAAAAAAAAACCCAGGAGAAAGACCATCTGAGACACCACTCGGCCGCTCTAGCCAGTTGAGCTAACCGGTCTTTTTTATTCTTCTAATTAGGTGACCACATTCGAGAAACTCAAACTACTAATGAATTACGTGAATAGCAAAAATAATATGGAAAAATAGAAACGAGCAGAAAAAAAAAAGTTGGAAAGCAAGATCTATCCATTCATCCTTTTATACATATATTGCAAAAGGTTACGGGGCACCACTTTTTCATATGATGGAGATGCGACTGATAATATGTTCCCGACTCAATTGCGCCATTTTCAACCAATCAAAAAAGTGAATATTTTTTGAGTCACGGCAATACCCCCAAAGTTTACCGTTACGCAATAGTTTACGTAATAGTTTTTTTGATATCTACGCTAAATTCTCTTTTCTGTTAATAAAATCAAGATTTTACTACTTTTGGGTCAATTAAGAAATCTAAGACATAGTGTGTTATGATGAAATTATACAATAAATAAAAGTGGGATTAAAGTGAATCACTATTGTTTCTATATGATTAATAAATAAATAAATAAAAAATCGAACAATGCTAGGTTAATCAGTTTAGGGGGATTGAAAGAACAAACTCTCGATTTCTTGGTTATGGTAACTTCAATTTACTTTTTGCTTGTTCATAGGCTACGTAGAAAATCGCTGCTGCTGGTACAACCTACATAATAAACAAGACTCTTCGCTCAACAAAAAAAAAATCAAAAAAAAAACCAAGCTCAATTTTTGATTCAGGAAATCTGTACCTTTATTAAGGTCGGCATAAGTCCTTTGTAAAATCCGCGTATGCCTTCGCACGCATATGTTTTTTGTATGACATCAAATGCATTTACGTATTTTTGCGGGTGTCCTAAAGTGCCCTGTGCTTGTAACCTTAAAAATTTTACCAGATCTCATCATTAATGAACTATAGCGTTGATTGACAAAATCATTCTGAAATTTGGCAAAGTCAGATGTGACTTTCGACTTTTGGCATAACTCAAAACGTTAGGATCTACGTTTCTTTGGTAAAAGTCGAAAGTCACGTTCGATTAATTTCGATTTTTGATTTTATCAAAAACCTGATAAATTTGACTTACCGAGTCCTGACTAGTGAAAGTGGATAAACGGCTGTTGCACCCACCGATCCCGAAATCATTCCACATCCTAACGATACAAACGGATTCAACTTTTTTATTGTGGTGGTGGCGGTGGTGGTGGTGGTTGCATTCAACATGTTATTGTCTTTTTTCCCATCATTTAAAATTTTAGAATTCCAACGTGCTTCATCCCATTTCATATATGCCATTTTCAAATTTTCGTAAACACTCATATCAATCGCCGAATACGGAAATACGCCTATCAATGCTGGCGTCAATCCTCTATAAAATGTCCGTGGACCTTGTATCTGCCACATTTCCTTTGCAGTACGTAATAATAGACTGTTGTTCCCAACATTCCTACTACCGGTTGAAGAAGAGACCCCGGCAGAGCTCATCACGCGTGTTTTGAGTGCTTCTAATGGATATATACTGAATTGTGATAGTAGACCAGCTATCCCTCCGGCCAGAAATCGTCCAGACATTCCTATTGATTCCACGGATTGTCCCGTTGAATAAGAAATAATGGCTTTTGATTGCTCATATGAATAAAACTTTATGCTACTCAAACAATTGAATCGACGAATTAGAATTCACGACAAAGTAATTGTAATATCGACGAAATATATCAAAATACCTATTTTCTGGAGCAATCTTAGCAACATTGAGTCCATTCCCCCGGAAAAAGTTCAATATTCCTCCTTGACGATACAACTCTTTGATCGCGTTCGTGACATTACTCAATCCCGACGTAGACTGTCGAGCAACAGGTGCCGCAACATTTTTATTATCAATTACACCACCGTGTTGTTGTTTTTGTAATGTTTTTGTTGCGGAAAGTTTCAAAGATGGTGCCACCGTTTGTGTTTGTAGAAAAATTTTCAGGCGATCAAATGGTGCGGTTGCAGTTCGACTCACAGCCCCTAAAGGAAGGGTTAGTTAACAGAACTGTTCCGCCCGACTATTATTGTCGACTTAGAATCCGGGATTTCTCATCGAAATAGCAACAAAAGACAACAAGATCAAAAATAATAATCGTGGAAATAATTAATTGTTTACCAGCCAGGGCTCCGGCAACAAAATATTTTGGATTTGTGACCGGGATGACGGCTTCACCGTCAATATTGATTTGTGCTACTGATCGATAGAAATAATATATTTCGTGAAGTGTCGTTTCACTTGGAAGAAGCTGATGATTATATCGTTCTTCTCGTGATTTGATTCGTTGAAATTTAAAAATACATTTGCTAAATGATAAGAAAAAGGTTCATACCAAAAGAAAATCTCTCCATTCTCCAAAATCGATCACACCATTTCCATCCTTATCCATGGTGTGTATAAAATTTTTTAATTCTTGCTTGGTGCAATGAATACCTGAGAGATATGCGATTAATCATTAATCATTGAATCCGCATTTTAATCAAAAATAGTACACTTAATTTCTACCAGCTTTCCATAAGGCTCCCTCCAATTCCTCAGGTTGCAAAGCCATATCCCTACTCTTGTCAATTTCCACAAACAACTTCCACAACTCTTTTTCTTTCTCCTCGACAAAGGTCTTAAACTCCTGGAAATCGACCAACCCATCTTTACTTGTGTCGCACCTTTGCAACAATTCTGAAGCGTACTTATTCCGTGCCGGGAGATTTTTCAGTTCACTCAGACCCTTTTGTATTTTTTCGCGGTCTAGAAAGCCAGTACCGTTTTTGTCTAGCTCGTCGAATACCTTTCGTATTCGAGCTACACGCGCCGCTTCGTTCTCGTGATATGAGGATGATGACGGTGGTGATGAGGGGTGAGTTTTATCATTATCTAATTTAGGTTGATCAGAGCTTTCAGGTTTTTTATTGGAATAGTCGGACGTGGAAGCGTAAGACAATTTTGACTTATTATTAGAATTTTTAGATATTAACGTAGTTTCGACCGTGTTCTTCGCTTCACTCGACATGATGAAATATTCATGCATAAAATGTTGAATGTATGCGATGCATTGATAAATCTTTTTTTAACCTTACATTTTTAGTTAGAGTTGGCTACCATACACAACATATTGTAAAATTAAAAAAATCTCAATTTGCGTAAAAAAATATGGATTAGATCGAAATATTATTCGAGTCTATGCAAACATATAACGATAATGTTATCATTATCTTGTCTAAATGCAAATAATAATAAATAAAAATCTAAATCCGATAATAATATATTTTCTCGTTATTTAACATCATCATCTCCCAGAATAGTTCTTTCTTAATCACACCTTCCATCTTTCGGCCCATCCCGCCACCGCTCATCAACCTTCGAGCAATCGAAAATCTTTTTACCCAATCGTTGATTCACCTCATTATGCGCTTCACACATCCACCGTGACAACGCCGTACGATTCTCAACGTGTGGTGGTTTACGTGACATCTCTTCACGGAAATGTTCGGCACAGTACCAACACGGATAGACATGTGAAAAAGTGCGAAGAAAAGATAGCATCATCGTTTGCTGTGTGGTGGTCGGTGTATCGGAATAATAGGCCGCCATGGTGTGTAAAAAAGTCCAGGTGTGTCGACCGAGGGTTTCAGAATCGGGTGGACAGTCTTTTGGAAGCTTTTTTTCGGCGGAAGAACCTAAAAATGGTATCGCTGCGGTCGACGAGGTGGTGGTAGATTCTGAGGAATCCTTCTTCCTTTCTTGTCGTGTCCAGTCTTTGAAAGCTGTACATGCTCGACACGGTTTCCCGTCTTTTCCAAGTATGATGTTTGGTCGATGTTTTTTGCTTTCTGCTGACGACGATTCGCCAGGGTGATTGTGATTTTCGGTTTTAGTTATGTCTTCGTCTTGTAGTGGAAGTAATTCAGTCATTTTGTTGCTGTTATTATTTTCTGTTGCTAGACGGGCTATTATAAACGTGTTTTCAATTATTCATGTCAGCTGTGTCATCGAACATGAATGATGTGATCTCGACCTGGTGATTTATTGAGCCAATTATACTTCTATCGCTATTACTGATTTTTTTTTGATTAAATAAATAAAGAAAAAAAGAAATGTGTAAGTAATAGCTCACTTTCTGGTTATCCAGTCAACTGAGTCAACTGTTGTAAGTTGGTTCATTGGGTTATAGCATAAAACTAATATTATTGTAAGTAAAATAAAAAAATTAAAAAATACAGTATGCATAATTTAAATTGAGTCATATCACGCATTTAGAGAGAACTTATATAGTGTGTGCAGTTATAAAAAATGTATTTAAAGAAGCGTTACTACAGTTTTAAAAAAATCTTTATTCTATATTAAAATATAGAACTTATTAAAATAATTATGTAAATTATTGAGAAAATACAGTTTGAAATAATATAAAAAATTATTATTTTTCAAATTGTATTTCTTAATAATTTATCAAATATAGTCAAACTATCTCTATACCTGAAAAAATAAAGTGATTATAAAAAGATTTTTTAATTATAATTACTAGTAACTGAAAAATTCAAAATGAAGAATTATAGAGAAATATAATTATTAATATAATATATTAATATATAATTAATTATTATTTATAATTAATAATATTAATATATAATTTATAATATAATCAATAATAATAACTTATTATTATTTTTTAAATTTAGTTCTTAGCAAATAAATTTTTTTAAGATTATATAATTATTATTAATTTTTAATAATTAATTTTTTAATATAAAACTTTTATATTTACTGTTTGATAAAAGATTTATTTTTGAGTTTTATAAATTTATAATATTTTTTTTATAAAAAAAACTATTATTATATGAAATTATTTTAAATAAATATAGTATTTATATGAAAAAATAATTTTTAAATAAAAAATATGAAATTTATACAAAATATTTATAATAAAAATAATAAATTTAAAATATATATATATATTAATATCAAGAAATTAAATAATATATTAATATTTATAAATTTAAATTTATATAATAATAAAAAATTATACAGTGGCAATCAAAAATAATGCAACGCTTAAATTTTTTATTAATTATAATTAGTAAAATACG